TAATGCTTTACTTCTTAGCAATGATATCTTCAGTGCTTAAAAGTGATGTTAATTGACGATCATGTTGCTAATTCACTGGCTGCCTACTTCGACAGTTGACCACATTGTTTGCCTCATAGGGAGACTCTATTTCTGGTGGTGGCTGGCTGTTACTTGTTAAGTGTGAAAAAGCCAAGTCATCTTGGGGAACATAACAAACTGGCACACATTTCCTTTGGAAGCATGAACCGTAGCTGAACGAAACAAATCAAGTACTTAAAATAACCTGTTTCCACATTACTATGCTCTGTTATCATCAGGCAGGGGGGAAGGGGGTTTGCCTTTATTTACAGGGAAGATCTTTCGTGCACACCAATAACACACAGTTTTAACCTTATAAACATTTGAGTTTAACTGTGTAATCCAAAACCTAGATTTAAATTTCATTTAACTATCTACCACCCAAGCTAAATGGTGTTTTTATCCAGCAACTTCTGTCACATTTTATGTCCAAATATGTTCATATTTCAATTTTAGGTAGTTTTAACATCCATGTGCTGCCCTTCTCAGACTTTCAGCACAGAGTTGATGGATACCTTAGATTCCTTCACTCTTACTTGAGCAATTCCTGTTTTTGCTTATTTACACCCTTGAATTGGTTTTACACATTATAGTCTCAGTCCCCACAACTTTGAAATCCGTATGTCAGATTGTAAACTGGTTTATTTAGTGTGGTCTTCTCACTTTGACCAGTTAGAAAAGGGGCAAGAGTCTCTTGCTGTGTCTACAACCAAGTTTTCTGAGCTTCTTATCACTGCTTCTTAAAGGGGACCTGCCATCAAAATTTCATACCCATTTTAATCATTTTTTCATAATCCTTGATGTCCTCTGATCATGTTTGCAACATAATTTTAGCTGAACAGTTATTTGATGGTTTGTTTTAGTATGCCTAAAAAACCTTACAGGAAAACCAACTGATTTTGGCTCATTAACATTTATGGTAATGAGCTTTGCTCTGATTGGATCGCTGCTGTGAAGCCTGCTGTGCTCTGATTGGCTCAGCAGTGGAGATTCGGATTTCGGTTTATCCATTTTGCTAATGTGTGCTAAAGTAAGGTGCTCGGATGTTTGTCATGAAATCCGGGGATATTCGGTGCAGTGGCGGCGGTGCAGGGGCTGCAGGGGCTGTGTGATCACAGACAAAATCTCGGGACTATTTAGTAGCAGCGCATGCCCCTTGTAATAACCCCCCGTAAGAACTGTTGTTCAGGACTGCTTACTTGTGCTTCCTACCTATTCGACTACTGTTATAACCGTTGTTCGAGCCCACACGCAACATTTTTGTTCTCATTCATGAAACACTTAAATCAGGGACATTTTCGGGGACAGCTTTTGCCGGGGGACAGGTCATCCAATACGGGGACTGTCCCCGGAAATCGGGGACGTCTGGTCACCTTATGCCAAAGGCCAAAAAATGGCAGGAAACCATATATTTTTGACCCCGTGTCCGAAGAGGAGGCGGAAGTTGAGGAAGAAGCTGGTGTTTTCATTCATTCTGCCCAGCTTTAAGTTCATTTTCCCGGCAGTGAACCCAAGGAAACACCGGTCGTTTGGAAGAGACACATAGCGGATACAGTGGTAGCTGGGTCTTGCTCTGGCTGGAGAGTGATGTTGACTGTGACTGGGTACGAGAACGAGAGAGTGGGCGTGGCTCACCGAAGACGTGCTCGTGAATAATAATGAGCAAGGTCTGCGTGACGTCAGAGGGACCTGCTTTTTCAATCGGCCTGGTTTACCCGTTCTTTTATTTTAAACCTTTACAGGATGCAAACGACGTAACAGTTTGTTTTCACATTTACAACATAAGACGGACATAATATGGACCTTATCTTACACAAAAAACACACAAAATTACATTTTTGATGGCAGGTCCCCTTTAAACTGTTTTTAACCTAAATTTCAACACACAGGAGAAGGTCTCCTGTTTCAAAATCAAGATTCTGTTGCCCCGTACAAAATAAAAAAAAGCTCTCCTAAAACACAGCAGCCCTGGTTAAAGGACACCATACAAGAATTAAAGAGGCCATTTTAATAAGACCTGGGTGGGGAGCCAAGGGCTCTGCACTTACATGGTTTTATTCCTATCTTTTAGAATAGACACCTGTGATCACCACAGGTAACCACTCTTCTTCTTCCTCTCTTTATTACCTGTGGTGTGCCACAAGGTTCAATTTTAGGTCCACTTTTATTTATGATCTCTCAATTAATCTTTTAACTGTTATGCAGATGACACACAGATATACCTGCAGCTGAGACCTGGTGGACAAAGAAGCCTTGCTGCTGTCTCTATCTGTCATAAAGAGGATAAATGTTAAATGGCTAGAAGTTTTCTTTGACTTATAGATTCATATTCAGAAATTATGCCCTTAAATAAACATTTAAATTAGTGATGTATTTTATCTCTCATCTTGAAACTCACTTTTATTTTATTCTCTGGTTGAGACACATTTTTACAGAAAAGCTTATATTCTGGGGTTTTATTTTATTTTAACTCTGATTTCATTCATCAGTTGTTTTACAGACACTCATGCCTCTATATCTATTTTATTGTTTGGATGACATCATTATTTGTCTTTTTATTTCTTTCAGTTTATATTGCTTACTGTAGAGGTTGTTGTTACCGGCATTGAAAGTGCCATTTTAAATAAAGTTAAATAAGTTCTGATCCCCTCCTTTACTGTCCTGAATCCCTTAAATTTATGTATTGCTTCTTTCTCACTGGCCCATTTTTTTAGATTCTTACTTTATTCCAATTTGTCGTCTTTTTTATTTCCTTGGATTCTTTTACATTTTCCTTTAATACTTTTATTCTGGTATTGTTTGCTTTATGATTTATGCCTTTTCTGCTGTAAATGTCCATCTATTCTGCTTTGTCTGTCAAAGAACTTCATGAACTTTTGCTTTTAAAGGTGCACTAAATAATGTTAAAATTTGGTTGATATCATTTTTGTAATTAAGACCAGCAGAAATACTTTCCTTTATAGCTTGCCATAATTAAATTGTTGCTGAAGAAATGCTGAACCATCTAACAAGTCAGCAATAGTGAGAACAGATATTAATACCCGCAAACAGGTGCTAACATTTTGAAAGAATGCTCTGTTTACATTTGACTTAACAGCTGAGGCAAGGACTCCTCAGACTGTCTGTTAACTGTACAGTACACTGTGTGTTGGAGGTGTGCATGAAGAAATCTCCAGATGACATCAACACCACAAACATACCCTAGAGGTCAGGTAGAGTCACGGTATCAAGCAGGGTTACAGTCCTCAGCCAGCTTGGGGCACAGGGTTAGTTTAGGTTTGTTTTCATGCTTGACTTGATCTTCTGTGTCCTTGGTTGATTTCTTACTTTCATCCACTGATTACCTATCCAAACATGTGAAATGTTACTTTCAGTATTATACAACAACAGTAGAGAAGAAATAAAAAAACATTTAAAACACAGCATCTACACATCATCATTAGAGTTCTACATATAAAATTATACTTAAGCATCAATTTAGAAATTATTTAACACATGTCCCACAAAAAATGGCAAGTTTTCACTGTTACAGGCTCAAAAGGAACTTGTGAGTGGGTCCTCTTGGTGTGAGAAAAGTAATTTACATGCTACATTATTCAATAATGCAGAAAGAGATGTTTCAAGGGGACTAATTCCCCAGATTCTAAAAATTTTAAATGTGTAAAATATTGCAAAAAAACAAGAAAACAGTCAACGAAGAGAGGGATTCATTTTACAAAGCTAAACATGGGATGCATAGAATCACAAAGTCTGAAGGTGAACAAAGTCAAACGGGTTCGCCAAGTGTGGCGAATAACAGTAGAGCTAGCACCATTAGCCTTTTGTCCTCCTCACAGGTTAACATCCACTGACCTGTGCTGCTTACAGGTTGTTCTGATTGTGTGGTTTTTCTATTTCCTTAAACAGGTCATTTCCAAACCAGAGCTGCAGCCCTGGTAAGTGGTCGGTGCCTGTTCTACAGCTTAAGCACAAAATATGGCCTACATTTGTAAAAAAGTTTTGTTGTATCACTGAATCAGCACCAGTTAACCTGAGTTCGGCTAACAGCTAGCTTAAGCATCATCTGAGAGCCATTACACTTACTCCAAACAGTAGTTTAAATGTATGCCCATAGGGTGAGGGGAAAAGGGTGTTGGGGGGTTTTATGGCAAGGATAACTGTTAACCTAATTCCAGTTTTTGAGCTAGCTAAGCTAACCACCTAGCTTTTGTTTCATGCACTTGAAAATATTGGGAAACTAAATCCTGTAAATCTTGGCAGGAGGACATGCAACAGATATTCTGATTTGAAGCATACAACGTTATAAACTTTGGACCACCACATTTGATTATTTGATCATATAACTAATGCTAATTATTGTTTAATAATCTGCCGCAGGATCTCAAATTTTTAAGGATGCCAATGGCTCATAACTGGCAGTTTAAAAAAATGTACTTTGTGCTTTTATGTATGTGTGTGTTTTCCTTTTTTTGGACTTCACTGCCACAGTCAATGTAACAGATCTAGAAGTATCAAGTGAAGTGAAAAAACCACAAAAACATTTTGAGATACTTGTTGATCCTTTGCTTACAGCAGGTTATTAGGGGTGACAAGTGTGAGATTAGTTTGACATCAGATAAAGTGCGAAAAAACGGGTCAGTTGTCCCTTGTCTCTTTTGTATTTCTATATTTCTCCAGCCACCATTTGGGCTCAGAAGGTTTAGACAGTCCATTAATCTCATCATAAATGTGTAAGACCTCTTTCACCACCACCCCACCCTCTTGTCTCTTCACCTTAGCGCGCCCTCACTCTGAATGTGTCTCCTCTTGAACTCCCTAAGTGTGTCGTCAGAGTCTCCTGCTCTCCTCGCTCACTGGAGGGTGTGGGTGACTTGAGTTCCACGCGGGCTTTGAATAACAGAGGGGGAAGAAATAAAAGGAATAAGCACAGCAAGCACCTCAGTCCTACAGCAGCAGAGAAGAGACACAGGAATAACCATGCCTGAGCCGGTCCCTGCAGGTATGCACACACTTTTTGTGGGAACGTAATTCATTGTGATTATACAGAAGACAGTGGATGCAGTGATGCTGATGCTCTTTTTGCATGATTTAGTTGGAGTTTTTATATTAGACTCTTCCTATGAGGACTTTACCCGAATTGATGATTATATCAAATTATTATTTTTTGTTTTTTTCTTGAGAATGATTGTGCTTTGTGTCTACAGTTGGTTATAAATGTTATGTAGCTGCATTAGACATGATTTTTAAAGGTTATAGGGGTTATGATATTTGATAAAGATACTGTAGCTATATATATACTGTACTATACTGTACATTATGAGCACGTGGCAGCTGCTGTAAGATAAGATAAAAAAGATGACAAACTCTTGTGATAAAAGTCTTCAAGTTTAACGTTCAGTTGGCCAGGGTGGGGTGTGGTTTGGGTGAGTGGAGATGGGGTTGGGGGGTTCGGGAGGTTCAGGGGTTAGCTTAACCCCATGTGACCCAAAATAGTTGTTTACTGCAGCTGAAGAAAACACAAATATCAGATGACCTCATTGCATACTGTAATGTAAATGTGCAAGTGAAGCAGATTTTAATCTGCTCTGAGTGCCCAGAAGTACAGTTTGCACACATCTTGACATGACGAGAGTCGAGAGTAGATACTTGTGGATTTAAAAAAATTGGCCTTAATGTGAAATTTACATATCAAACTTATTCATAGACAACTTTCTAATAAGCCATTAAACTAACAGTAGTTAAGCAAACATGTTGCCACTCTGCCTCCTTGTTGTCACCTGTCCGTGCAGAATATTTGGCTGATCATAAATAAACCCATATCCACTTCTGCAGTGACGTCAGTGGGGTCAGTATGTTAATGACATCAGTGCAGACAGCACAATATTGTTGGCTTAACTGGCAATCTGCCAGAGCCAGCTGTGAGACAGTGACTGAAGCAGGTTCAGGGTTGAATAATACTGCAGACTTCATGTGCTCCTCTTCTATTTGTAATGCAGGACCCACTAAAGTTTCACACTTGCTATTGTAAGACTGCAGTATCGCTTTAAAAGGACATCTATCGTGTTGAACTTTTGAGAGTTTCCACTTTGAAGGTTTTGATTCTTTTGGCAGAAAAGAGAGATACCCAATTTTTCTGGTTATAGTTTTATGTGTTATAAAAACTGTAGCTGATACTTTGATTTAGTTTTATCCTGGTTAAAGAAAAGATTTGCAACACACATTTAAAAAAAACTGCAGTTATAGTCTTTTATATATCTACCCTTTTCTCTTCTTTTCTGACTGTTACCAAGTAAAAGATTTTGCAGCTTCCTTCAAGGCAAATGAGGAAAACCTTACATTTACAATATTCCTTACTCCTTAATACAATATAATAATTTCACAAATAAATTCTGATAAAGTATTTTTCTTCTTAAAAGCAATAACTCTTAAAAACCTTGCTGTGGATGTCTGTAAAATACATCTGTCATTCCTAAACCAGCTTTGAGTGTCATCATGTACCTTTCTCATAAATACTTGTCAGCTGTCCTTCAACTTCCAGAAGTTGTCTCTGCTCACCTTTGACGCTCACTGGCTCTAAATCATCCACCTTCCTGAAACCTTAGATAAGAGACTGTCATAGCAGATGGGTCAGTAGGATGACTTGAGTTTTTGCAGGACAAGAAGTGGAAGGAGTGTTGAGCCTGTCAAGCCCCTCTATCTAATTTCTGCACCCAGCCTGTCAAGATGGTAGGCGTTATCGGCTTTGTTGGACTTGTTAGCACATTACTCCTAATTCTACTTTAGTCTGCTTGATTTTTTTCCTCAGCTGTTCTTGTGCTGATCTTTTATGAAGATATAAGCTACGTCGCATTTATTTATGTTCCGAGAAGGACAACCAGGCGCTACTTTTAATCGCAGCAGTGGAATTGATCTTATATGGATGTGATTCATATTTGCGTACTACACGTCTGCACCACCCGCTGCTGCAAAGCTGTAAATATGAGGGTCAGATAACCTGCCAGTGTTAAATTAAACTCTACTTGGTGATTCCAGGCTGTACCCTATGTTATATTTGAAAAAAGAGGATTTTTAAATCTCAGTGTCTCACCACAGCAGTATGAAACCAGTCAGATTATATTCAGCCCAAACTTACAACCTAGCACCACTTATTTTCCTGAATCATGAATTATTTCTGCATTAACACCCAACATGAGTTCAAACAGTCTGTGCTGCTTCACCAAGCAGCCAGATCCTGCCCTCAGCTAACAGCTAAAAATACTCCGCAATAACCCCTGACCTTTTCCACTTTAATTTTTTTTTCTCCATAAGATCATAAGGTTTCACACACGCGAGCGTATCAGGTTTTGCTGTAACCCCTTCTGCAGTCCCAGCCGAGATAAATCATTACGTAATCCGTCACTTTCATCCAGAATGTTCCCTCATGGTCAGCAGGCCTGATGATCCCTCTTGAATGTGATGTGGTTCCAAAGCAGTCAATCAAGCACATCATGACAGTTTTTATACTCAGTGGTTGGAAGTGATGTTATAAATTATAGCTGGGATCATTTTAACCATTATGACCAGAGGAAAGACTATCAAGGCAAGTAGATACCAAACTGAGGTGGAGTTCTGCAAGGACCTTACTAGTTTTCACGTCCAGGACAAAAAAGTGTCTCCTCAACCTGAGAGCGAAAAATGTAAAAATATGTGAAATATCTAGAAATAAAATGATGGGAAGACCCATAGATTAATTGGCAGTGATGCAATCTACCTTTAAAACATCAGGGGTTTTGTAATAGCATGGTTACATGTAAAACTTGAGTGTAAAAATATCTTATAAGGGGGAAAATATATATATATAAATATATTTATATATTTATATATAAGAAATGAAGGTAATGTGCTTAACTTATATCAGTTAAACTGAAAACCCTCTGAATTTTTAAAATCTTACTAAGCAAAAAATGTGAAAAAAAAGAGAGAGAATATGCACAGGGTAGATGTTTGAACTAATAAATTAAAGAACTTAATTTCACATAAATATTTTTTAACTCATAACTTCTGACAACTCATTAATCAAATCAGTTTAACACCAATTCCTGTGACTTGATCCAAATGACATTTATCCCTATGTTTGCTTTAACAGATCCAATAGGTATTAAATGATAATGCTGAGATATCTTCACTAACTGAAGCTGTCAAGGGTCACTCAAGGGTCCCTTAAGGTTTGATGAGGCCAGGCCACCCAACACCTTTGTTTATGTCTGAGTCATGACAGACAGCCATAAATCAAGCCAGTCTATTTGAAACGTGGAGGTAAACAAACAGTGAGGTGATGACGTGCAGTACCTTAACTGACCACGAAAAACTGCAAACACCAAACCATATTTGAGACGTGCTGTTTCTAAAAATAAACAGAAGGTAACCGAGGAGACAGATGTACAGTAAAGAACAGCTGAACGAATGTCTACGTGAAATACGACAGACATTAAAAAGAAGACACAGACATTCAGCTATGATTCATCCATCTACAACGACTCAAACAAGTTTGCAAATATCTGAAGCCACAGAGAGTCTCTGAGGAGGACATTTAAACTGAAAGGAACAGCTGTTCAGAAGTTCATTACCCAGCTTTATCACAAACTTGTTGAAAACGATGAAGATTTTCACCCGGAGGGGGCTGACTTAGCAGATGCTGATGCAGATTTACACTCAGTGCAGGTGTCAAACCCTCTCTCTGGGTGCAGAAAGCACTTATACCAGTCTAAGAGGGTGTTTGAGTGCCATTTACAAAAGTTGTCTTATTGTACAAACAAAATAACAGGCAGTGATTCTCTCAGGCTCTTATAGCTTGGAGACTGAGTTAGAAATTGTGTGTGCCGCAATATTGAGTAAACAAAGTTGTTTCCAAATGCAGTCGGAGCAATAAATATGATTCTTATGAGCAATCAGCTATTTGCAGTCAAGTAAACATAGTAAACTGTTTGAGAAAGCATTGAGACATTATGAGCATTCCTCCAGAACAAAGCATCTAAACAATCATCATCACATTGACGAATGAAAAGCATAATTGCACCTATTTGAGCTTAAAGCTTGGGACAAAGCTTCATTGAATCATCTTGCAAGTGAGGTCAAGTCTGCCTGACTATTCAAGGAAACTGTATTCAGCTTAAGAGAATGTGGCTCGACTTCAGGAAGGTCACAAGATACCGTCCCTGGCCTTTTCCATCTACTGCAGTGACCCTCCTCCCGAGAGACAGTGTCTGAAGGAGTTGGGTATATCATCTGCCTCTATTTCAGACGGGTATTTTCCTTTTACCAGATTTAGGCCTCAACAATAACGCCCCCAGCTCTCTCCCACACCCCTCAAACTGACCATCTATCATCAACCGAAGCTCCAGTTTAACTAAAAGAAACCGCCCTGTCAAGTGAAGACGGTGTATTCAATTTTATCAGTATCAGTTTCAAAGATTCATGGTAGAGCTTACACAGCTTCATGGAAACTTCACAGGTGGTCATTTCATAAAGTGCATAATCTTATGTAACAGGTAGTATTTCAGATTCAGGTTCCCATGAAATTTAATCTTAAGTCTGAAAAGTCTTTCATTTAACCCTTTTCTGTGAAATTAAATAATCAGCATCCTGGTATAAATCATCAAGAACTTCTGATTTAAATGGGAAATCAAGAGAGCCATCACTGAGCTATGCATTCAAGTATTTCTTTTAAGATTTAACTTATTTTATTCAAAATTATTAGTTATTACTTGGGCTGTTGAATTTGAGGCAGTGACACAAATTCATTTAAATAACACACAATTACCACATGCATGATAATGCATGTGTATTGCCCTTGGTATCGCTGATGCTTACAAACATACATCAGTTGTAAATTTGCAATCATCTGTTTGTTGAGAAGTCCTTACTTTAGATTTACATCTCCACTTTTGAATCTCAGATTCCGCTTCGTAGCCCTGCTAGGTGGTCTTCTCCACAAGACCAAAGTTAATAGCATTTACAGTCAGAGTAAAATGAGCTACCACTGGAGAGGGTACAGCTGATGCAAGGGATCCCCTTATCCTCACCAAAGATGTCCAAGTGTGGCATTTATTTCCCCCCTTATGTGGTTAAACACAATAACACTGTGTTAGGCTATTTGCAAATGAAGAGGGGACGATGTAAGTTAATCTTATAAGTGCAAAGTCCAACACTATATCATGTTAGTATTATAAGTCATGTGGCATTCAGGTCAGTATGCCCATCTGTTGTTATTTGTAGGGCTGGGGTTTGCCATCTTATGCTTTTAGTATATTATATTATCATATCAGGAGCCTGGAGACAGTATTTCTTCATTTATTACTGTTGTTATTATAGCAGACACAGACTTTGCTCTGAACAGGCATATTTGTTCTCTTCCTGGTTGATAAACCTGAAAAATATCTCCTTAGGGTACATTTACAGAAGATGAAAAACGTGAAATGAATTTGTGATCAATTGCAAGTCAGTTATGGACTGTCATTTAATTGATCGCATTGAAAGGATATATTATTACATATGAGCAACATATTTGTGGACTGTTTGGGACACCTTATGTTTGGCATTGTGGTTTACGGTGCCAGACATGACCATATCCTAACAAGAGGGCAAAAATGACAACAGTGTTAATTTAATAGAGTGAAAATAAGGATAACAATTTAAAAAACACACAAATATAAAATCAGTGTGTTTTTTACCCTTTGTTAAGAAATTTTATGGGTTTTGATTGTCTACTGGAGCCAGCCTCTAGTGACCATTCAAAGAACTGCAGTTTGAATTTTTTGCATGTTTTTCTCTGCCTCATTTTCCCCTTCAGAGGTTGTTTGTGAGTGATCTGATTTTCTTGTATTTGTCCGGTTACAGTAAGTGATACATGTCTCTAATTTTTCCTTTTTCTCTTTCTGTTTTTCAGCGAAACCGGAGGGGGATGGTAAGTCAGCTGTTCAGCAGCATTTACCTTTTGACCTTTTCGTGTGCCTTACATTATCACACAGTGACTTGATTATGGCTCTCACATTTTCACTTTTCAATTCAAGTACTTAAGCATGTCGAGGAAACATACTCTGAATTCTGAGGATGTAGGTGTTACATATACAAAATCTTGATTTCTGAATTTCATACTTTTATTAATAAGAATTACATTCTTGTATACCAGCATGCTATGTTTGAAGCATTCTTACCGAGAGTGTTTCAGCTGCATATTATCAGATTACCAAATCTGTTTACTCAACTATTTACGGTGGTGTAAAAACACAGACTCAGAATGAGAAATATCCTTTGGGTGTTTACGAGGCATAGTTGAGTGTGGTCATGTTGCACTAGTCTGGATTTTATATTTTACACACTGATAAAATCTATTAGCTCAGCTGTTGTCGCACATCACATATACATTTGAGCTACTATGGCATTACCCTCTATTTGTAATTCTAACAATAGTCCACTAATTTTAGCCCCAGCAGAGCCCGCAGAGGAGGGTGAGGGACACTGAATTCCTTTTCTTTTCTCCTATTTTGTGACTTTGATGCAGTGCATTCACAAAGTGTTTGTATGTGACATGGAGTGGGTCTGATTCAAACTAATCTGTCAGCGTAATTATCTGAGTAATGCATAACAAGTGGTATAGCTCTAGATAATAAGTAAAGCAATTATTGAGCCAAGGAGATAGGACTATAAGTGAATCACATCATATGAGACAACATAAAGCCGCTGAAGGGGCATAATGCAATTAGTATGCCACTTTGATCGAGTGTGTTTGCATTTCATGGCTAGCCTAGAGCATGTTTCACATGTGTTAACTGAGACCATATCTTCAGTGTGTGGAAACAGATGTAATTTCTTTAATGTGTTGTGGCAATGAAATGACAGAAATGAAAGAACTGGTGTCACCTGTGCATGTATTGACTGTGGATCACGGGCTTATTTCTTCTGTTTTGTTGACAGTGTAATGGGAATGAATGTTTTGATTTCCCTAAGTTGACTTTGATTTTCAGCATGCTGGACCACTGGACTTCAGAGCATTGATTCGTTTGTATATGCAGCAAGACAATCTGTTGATTTTATTGTTCACCAAGTGACTGCAACTGGATGGATTTTTTTCAGCTGTGAACTGAGTGATCTTTGGGTCTCATTTTTCCTGCAGGCATGTAAAACGTATTATGTCCGGAGGTGTTCCCTGTCTTTGCATTTTTTTGGTTGAGATTTTTTGGGGTTGTTGTGATTTTGGAAATTAAATGTTGTGATGATCTGATTAATATCATGTAACCATGACCTTTTAATTGGACAGCTACACCAAAGCCAGTACCAGATGGTAGGCACCTCTTAGTGTCAGCAAATATTTTACTCTTTCTAATTTGTTTCTCAAGTGTGACCAAATTTAGAGAAAAAAAAAATCCACCAAATGTCGAGTCTCAGGCTAATTTACATTCATTTTTTTTAGATGCCCCCCCAGCAGTAGAAGGTAAGACAGAATAATTTACACGGAGGCTGTGGCTGCACTTTCAAAATGGTCTTAAAATTACCCATTGAGCTTGAATAAAGGTTTTTGGTCTTCAAAAAGCATACTCTGATTCGAATCAAGTAGCTTAACTATGATTTTATATTTGAACAGCTGCACCACCGCCAGCACCAGATGGTAGGCAACTCCCAGTGTCAGCAAATATTACATACTTTCTAGTTTTTCCTTAGTAACAGTGTGACAAAAAAAATATAGTAACAGATAATATCAGAACTTGAGCTAATTAGCATTCATTTCCTTAGATGCACCCCCAGCAGAAGAAGGTAAGACCAAATAATGCACAAAGACATTTTAAAACATTTCAGAAAAAACAAAATACTTTATCTTATAATCTGAATTAAATTACTTATATTACTTTATATTTACACAGCTGCACCACCGCCAGCACCAGATGGTAGGCACCTCCTAGTGTCAGCAAATATTACATACTCCCTAGTTTTTCTTTGTATCCCTTGGTGTGACCAGAAATTAAAAAGAGAAAAATAGATCAAAACAGAGCTTGTGCTAATACACATTTTTTTCATTAGATGCACCCCCAGCAGTAGAAGAAGGTAAGATAGAACACCGTATATAGCAGCTTTGGCTGAAATACAAGACCTTATAATCTGAATTAAATTAATTATCTTTGACTTTATATTTGCACAGCTGCACCACCGCCAGCACCAGACGGTAGGCACCTCATAGTGTCAGCAAATATTACATATTTAGGATAAACTTTTTGCTCGGTGATATCACATATGACAAGATTTGAAAACAAAAAAAATACAAAAAAACACCAAAGGTAACACAAGCTATTTTGCATTTATTTTTCTTAGATGCACCCCCAGCAGTGGAAGGTAAGACAGAACGCTGTTCATCGAAGTTCTGTTTGCGTTTTTTCAATAGATTTTTCTTTTCTTATTTTTTTTTTTTGCAAGTTTTTATAAAGAAGTTTGAACATGGTGATGTTTGCAAAAAAATAGATCTTATGACCTGATTTAAATCACTTCACTGTGACTCTTTATTTGCACAGCTGCCCCAGAACCAGCACAAGATGGTAGGCACCTCCTAGTATCAGTTGATATTGCAAACTTTCCCCAAACTTTCCTCCTAAGCTACGTTAACTATGAGTGAATCTAGACAAAAAAAATAATAATAATAATTCCAGTAAATATCAGAGCCCAAAGTAATATACATTCATTTTCCTTAGTTGCACCCCCAGCAGTAGAAGGTAAGACAGAATGCTGTTCATGAAAGTTCTTGTTGCATTTTTTAAATAGTTTTTTGATTTTTTTTAAAAGAAGTTTGGTCATGGTGATGTTTGCAAAAAATACATCTTATGACCTGATTTAAATCACTTAACTTTGACTCTTTATTTGCACAGCTGCCCCAGAACCAGCACAAGATGGTAGGCACCTCCTAGTATCAGTTAATATTGCATACTTTCCCCAAACTTTCCTCCTAAGCTACGTTAACTATGAGTGAATCTAGACAAAAAAAAATATATATAATAATTCCAGTAAATATCAGAGCCCAAGCTAATAAACATTCATTTTCCTTAGTTGCACCCCCAGCAGTAGAAGGTAAGACAGAATGCTGTTCATGAAAGTTCTGGTTGCGTTTTTTAAATAGTTTTTTGATTTTTTTTTTTTTTTAAAGAAGTTTGGTCATTGTGATGTTTGCAAAAAATACATCTTATGACCTGATTTAAATCACTTAACTTTGACTCTTTATTTGCACAGCTGCCCCAGAACCAGCACAAGATGGTAGGCACCTCCTAGTATCAGTTAATATTGCATACTTTACCCAAACTTTCCTCCTAAGCTATGTTAACTATGAGTGAATCTAGACAAAAAAAAATATTTCAGTAAATATCAGAGCCCAAGCTAATAAACATTCATTTTCCTTAGTTGCACCCCCAGCAGTAGAAGGTAAGAAAAAATCTGTACGAGGGTGTTGTGGCGTGAGGTTAAGTGGAGTTGGTCTTTGTGACATTACATTTACATGTTGCAGTTACCTGAATGCAGTTTCTTAACCATAAATTTTATTTGCACAGCCGAACCACAGCCGGCACAAACCGGTAGGCCTCTTTTAAAGTCAGAGACTAAAGCTCACGTTTTATAAAGACTGTCTTTTCCTCAGTTTCCTACAGTATGATTGAACATATATTGAATTATAGCTCTGAGAGTAAGAACCTAAGCTTATTAACATTCATTTCCTTCAGCTCCACCCCCAGCAGAAGGAGGTAAGACAAGAGTCATGTACATGGAAGTTGTGGCTCTGTTTCAAAAACTTTTTCGCACTTTTTAAGTTTTTGTGACATTCCCAAATTATATGCTCTGATGACCTAATTTCAATCACTTAACCCTGACTTTACATTTGCACAGCTGCACCACCGCCAGCAAAAACTGGTAGGCTTCTTCCAACTTCATCAAATATAACCCACTTTCTCCCAACTTTTTTTCCCCCAGCATCCTCAAGCATGACTTCATATGCTATTGAGATTTTGCATTGAAACTGTAACTCAAATTAATTCACATTTATTTTTCTTACATGCACCCCCTGGCAGATGGAGGTAAGACAGAATCCTGTACATTAAAGTTGTTGATCTGTTTGTACTCTAACATATGTATACACGTACAAGTGCATACATGTTCAAACTGTGTGAAAACTGACCAATGAGACTTAAGGATAATAGAATAGAATGAATCAAGCATTAATTATAATATTCAAACATTGTGGGAACTCACGAATTACAGTGACTGCTTGATTCATTTATATCTTGTCCTTTTAAAGTCTTATTATTCAGTTTTAGGTGACAGGTGTTACCCTTTGTCTTTTTCTTTTTTTCTTTTCTTTTTGTTAATACCAGAAATACATGAATGATTTGCCAAGACAGTTGGATGAAAAGGGGCGGAGCCACACTCTTCATAACCACTTTGACCTATGACGTTTTCATAATCCAAAAGAAGCTACATTCCTGTTTGCAATATTATAATTAAAAGTTAACACAGCCGAGTGGTATTATCTAAATGTTCTCAACATCTTTAGTCTGAAAAAGAAGAAGTTGGTCCAAAATTATAATCCTTCAATACCAGCAAAGGAAAATGTGTGAAATTGAAATACAGAAAAGGTCAATTGCAGCCTGTGCAACACAGCCCAAAACATTTGATTCAACACAAGTCATGCATCTGACAAAGCAAAATGTCATAGTCATACTTTGAGGTTTTGGGTCACACAGCTGAACTCTGGCTCCGCCCTTGTTGATGATGAAATAGCAAGGACTGTTGTTATTTTTCTGCATTCGACAACCGTACATTTTAATGTATGTTGTATGTCATCCATTTACTGTCTACTACTGTGTCTTAACAAGTCATTTGAACAGATAAGGTTTAAAAGTAAAACCTTTCACACTCTAATCAAACTATTGTTTCCAAAGCAAAGCTTTCAATTAAAAAATATATGTCTTCACATTACTCACTTTTGTATCTTAAATATATATATATATATATATATATATATATATATTTGTAGTAAAATACAGCCATAAAGGAAAGTGAATTAATTAAAGCGAGAATAAGTCTTTGTGAAAACTACAACTATTGTGAGTTGGGCTGAAGACATGAAATGAGTCTACACTGGCTAGTATTGATCAAAGCGACTTTGTAACCAAAGTAACACTTTGAAAATTAAAAAGTCAAACTATCAGACTTCTGAACAAAATGTCTGGATTAAAAGTCATATGTGGCTGTCTTTTATCCCTTTTGATTGATAATTTACTTTTCTGTCAACACCTTCTGTGACTGCAGCAAAGACAATTTGTTTCTCAAATGTATATTTGAAATCCAGTCTGTGTAAAGTACCTCTAACATTTTCTAATTAATTTGTAAAGACACAAAAGTAACTTCATGAATGAAACTTGGGTTTGATGCAGGGAGTGTGTGGGATGGTCCGTTTTGATAATTGTGTTTTAAAAATTCAATTGTTTACTTTGTTTCTTTTCTTTTGGCATGCTTCACCATCAGGCATGTCATGACACTTCCACCCATGTTTGCAAGATGAAATGTTCCTCCCTGAAATGTGATGTTGTATAGTACTTCTGTTTGATATTTGTTCATTGGGCTTTGATGCAACTGTTTAGTGTTTCTTCTACAAAAATGAAAGCTGCTTTTTCAGTTTAGTTTGCTTCCTTGTCTACAGCTGAGTCAGACTTTGATGGGGATGGTAAGAAAAAGAGCAAAAAATCTTATTAATATGTCTGAGGATCATCTACTTTTGCTCCTTACAAAAGTAATAAATGAGTGTTGGTATTATGTGCAAGACCAGACGCCACATAATATACAGTGTAGTGTGTACACTACTTTAATACTCGAAATTATCTTGATTATTTCACCTTGGACTGAAGTTACGTCTAAAATAATATGTATTCAAATTTTTGGACACCATTTTAATTTTGACCAATCCACATACCTTAACTTGAGTATTGATAAATCTTGAATACCCCTACAATACCAGTGTGCAAGTGTACAAGACTTACATTACACTCTCTGCATGCACCAAAAGATCATTTCACACAGTAGACTGTTGATCTGGGGGCTCATTGTGAACAGTATCAGATTGTTGTATTGACTGGAGTACAATCCACTGATGCACTGAGTTGTATTCAAGGCAGGATGAGAGTCCGTTACGAATATCACAGTATTGGAACTTTTATAATATCAGTATACCGGGTGTTTTTTCCTCACTACAGCATATACTATGAGAAAAAAAATGCTGCTATATCTTTAAAAGAGGCTAAAACGTCTCAGAAATGTGTAGCAGCGTCCCTCAGGCCAAGGAACTTTGTGATCAAGACCTAACCAAAAGGTCTCATTTGTCACTTAAGCGATTTGAACAATGAGATTACAAACACAGCTGTGATTCATGAGATACAGTCACAGCAGAACTATGGCAGCTGTTGCTGATAACATACTGTCTTCTGATATGATGGCACTTTTATTGCCATTCCCATTCTTAACATCATGCTGTAGCCAAATAAGAGGCTGCAAGGACAGGTCAAGCCCTGAAGTCATCCAAGATGTTACGGACACACATCAAAATGCACAGATTTTGAGTACTGTGTTGTGTCTTGTTCTCTATGCAGAGCATAGAGAGCTGTGGGTGGTCAACAAACTGAGGTACTTCTTCCCAGCCACACAGTGCAATTCATAAATCATCCGTCTGAAAAATACTGGGGTTGCACCACAACTCAAATTTAACAAGGGAATTCAAGAGCCATGACTCACGTTGCAAAGGCTGCCCCTGTCTGCTGTGGTCTTTCAAGGGCACAGATCCCAGAGCGATACAATGGACATCCACTCTGTCCAAACTGATTAGGAGTAGATTGGATGGAGAAGGGTTATGAAAGTGCCAAGACTTCGGGGAGCTGAAGGCAGCTGATGCCTGCGGTGCCCTTGAAATGTTCTGTATGTGCATTGACATGTACCTGCTGAGCCTGAGGGTGAACTCTGACTGTAATATTATTTTGCTTTTCCCATTTGGACACCTGAGTGAGGTCTAACCAATCTGAAACTGTGTCGGCCATAATCCACATCGGTTGAGAAGAAGTCAGATTTACCAAGAAGTAAGTAGAATGGCAGAACTGTCTGTCATGGCTGCTTCTTGACCAGGAGAAATGTTCTGTCCAAAGCCCCTCCATGGGTGACCTGCCTGCGTTGTGCTCCCACAATAAGGTTGCTATCTTGGGTTTGCCCTGCTAATGGCCTGCTCAGCAAAGTTAGGGGTCAAGCATCTGGGGTGAGCTTATTAAATGTTAATTTTGGTTCCATGTCTTCTCCATAAATTCTTTGGGGAATGGCGGCTGTGATGCTAGAGCTATATCAATGCGTCCTCCTGTCCATTTAACTCTTTCTAACATTTATGAGCGCACAGTAAATCAGATATGTTGCAGCTCAAGAATGCCTTTCACAACAATGACGGGCAGATGTCCTAGTTGGAGTTCAGAGAGAGGTCTGTCACATGTGGAAAGATAGCTTATACATGCACAGTGGCAAAGAATAATCTATTCTTTCTGTCTTATAATACTTACACAGTTTAATTACCAAAGAAGTTTCTGGATGCTAGAATCAGCTTGTTAGCTGATAAGCCATCAAGTATTTGGCTTTATCTGGAAATATGACCAATTGTTCTCTTGGGTTTTTCCTTTTTTTTTCAGTGGAATTATAACAACTTATGAAATTCACATCCTTACAAATAAATTGTCAACAATATCGCACGGTTTGAGCTTCCCCAGACTAAGCTTAGCATAAGAGGAAAATGACTGCCAGCTGAACTTAGTCAATCTGTCATGTGTTCATAACAGTGGGAAAACATTCCCACTGGAAGCAAAATACTAATTTGACTCTGTGAAGAGATTTAAACCGGCTATCCCTGGCTGATGGCACGGAAAGCAAGCTACCCTGATCCAACAAGAGCAGCTGACTAAAGTTCAGAGGGAAACCCGAGGAGATAAACTTCACTTTGGTTGGGATTCATCCTAGTTCAGATAACAGGCTATCCATATCCGATTTTAGCCATGGGAACAGATTTATCGAAAGGCTTAACAGGTATTTAGCTTAGTTTTACAACAACATAGTTTTGCTGTCAGCAGTACTGGAGAGCAGAGAGGTTTGAGGCATGAGGGAGAGAACGAGTCCAAAAAGAGGCGTCTAACACAAGTCTAAATGACTAATGGTTAACTTTGTGAACTTCAGAAAGATGTAAGCGTTTGCAGAAAATTGAGAAGCATTCCTGATGTTGTTTTTACTTTATATATATAGCTTTTGTTTTAAGCCTTGATTTTTTGATCTGCCTTTGTTTGATACCCAGCTCTTGACTCCAGTGTGGAAACTGCACCACAACAGTTTTGCCATCAGTGCGTCTATTAGTGGAGTCTCTGTGTGGGAAGAGCTTATCATACCAGGGCTGTTTCGAGCCATACCCAGGGGGGCATACAGTGTATGTGGGGGGGGGGATTATTACCGCGTGGCCAACTGCACACTGTTTTGGGGCGCTTGCACAAGCATTGCTAAATATTACCATGAAGTTTCTGCAGAAATCAATACTCAAAACAAAAATAGTTCATAGAATGAGTCTAAAATCACATGGATTTCTGCATGCTCACTCAGTATGGGGTAAAGTAATGAGGTTTTTTTATTACAAACAGTACTGCAGGATCAGTCCAAAAGAAGTAATCAAGCTAATTTTTAATAAAGATAATTAATCCCTCCCAAGTTTGGTGACTCAAAGCGTAGTAATCAACACACTTGATTACTTTCGGTTTTGACTGATAACAGTCATGATCTTACTTCCCTTTGTAAAACCCTGTTTTGATTGCATTTTATGGTGTGCTGTATTAATGTAATAACTCTTACAGAATAATCATTCTGTATTTCCTTCTGCCTTGTTTTACCCCATGAGTTACGCTGACTTATGGTACAGTATAACAGCAGATAGTTATACTTCCATATGTTAAACCAGATATTTGTTTTTCCTAGCTTTGGGAAATCCTGAAATGGAGGGTAAGGGAAACTGGGGGCACAGTGTGTGACTGTGTCTATTTACAGCATGCATGCTAATGAGATGTTAATAAATGAAGATGAATGCATCCTCTGTTTTGTTGGTTGATGGTATTTTTGAGAGAAAGAACTTGCATCACATTGTATAATTTTTTGAGATGTTATTGTGAATATTGAGTATAAACTGTTTTTTGGGTTTTTTTTTGCACCTTGAATCTTAAGTTTTTTTTTTTTTATAAAGACAGAAAGTGCTGATATGTGGAGGCCAACAGGTGCACATGCAAGTTGTGTTATACTTAGCATCATCGGAGCTCATTACCACAGAGTGGACCATGTGATTGTTAATGATACTTTGTTGAGCGATTATGTATCCCTGAGGCTTTTGCTTGTTTGATACATGAAGCATCCACATCGCTCTCTTGACCTTGAATGTATTCAGAGCATATGGAGTGTTTTACTGCTCAGATGACTCTGTGTTTAGTTATTTAAATAGTGTTATACATGTTTTATGCAACAGACACATTTTTGTTGTTATACTGCAAGTGTTTAATATCTTTAAAACACTGAAGTGCAGTCGTCACAAACACTGTTATGCATTTTTTTACCCATGTTATTGAATTACATGTTTCGGTCCATTTCTGGAACACATATGTCATTGGCTAGTAATCACCTATATGCTCTCACACAACACAGAAAAATCTATCTTTTATTTCATGGGGAAAAAAACCCTTTCCATCCACTAAAATTTTTTCTTTTTTTTCATGTTCTTCCCCAATGACGCACAAGATCTACAAGCTAGGTCAATCAATAATCAGCCTTAGTAGCTTCTGTTGGAGAAATCACCATCAGTACAAGAACTTCTGTAATTTTTGATTTTGACAAAAACTTGAGATATGCACAATCTTTTAGCTGTTTTACAAATCACAAAACAAAAGCACATTGCTATTACTTTCCAGTTCTGACAGTTTCATTAATTACTCTTTATTGGGGTAATGTCAGAGGAAGCAAATAAATGCATGGTTGTTTTTCCTGACAGCAGGTTGTCTGCAGAATCTTTTTCTCACTCTTTCTTGATTCCTTTTCCAAGTGCTGGTGGTAAATTATTTAGAGTTTCTTCCTTTCGCTAACATCAGAATATTCATCCAGGCAGAGTTTGCAGATGTATTTCAAAGTTTGTCTCTTTCAAAAAAAAAAGTGTCTCAGCATCTCATCATGTTTCTTGCACCCTTGTTTGTTGCCCCCTGTGGTCGCTGACAGTGTCATGAAAGACTTTAGTGTTTTCCTCTGCTTGTCTCATTAATCCTGTCAAAATTGGAGCTGTAAATGCATTTTTCCTTTCCTTTTCAGAGTCTGGGTCGACTGAGCTCACTGGGCTCTTTGTTGAGAAGCCCCCAGAAAATGTGGTTGCCATTGCAGGTGAGGAGAAAAAATAAATGGATTAAAATCTATCAGCACCCTGGCAACCCCCTTCATAATATGTAAAATGATTAAACAGTATAACATGTTAATCAGTGATTGTTTGTGCATGGCAGGACAGGATGTCATTTTCATTGCCAAGGTTGACTCAACCACACTGGCAAGAAAACCCACAATGAAATGGCTGAAGGGCAAATGGATGGACCTGGGCAGCAAGGCTGGAAAACACATGCAGTTCAAAGAAACTTATGACAGAAACACGAAGGTGTGTTCAAGAGACATAGGCACTATAATGAAGTGGACGACACCACTATTATTTCCCCACCAGACCCGTGGGTTTTTGGATTTGGCATTTCAGCTGTTGCTGTTGTTTTTCTTTCTTTTTGATTTTTAACATGTTTTGTAATAAAATAGGATATTCCACAACATATTCAAGACAACATGACATGATAGCTGAATGAATATAGCTGAGTATATGTAACTGCCTACTGAAGATAGAAGAAGTAGCACTGGAGTGAAAGTCAGAAGCAGAGCTATCTTTATTAAGAGTGACACCTATTTACTGTAAATGGCACCAAAATTCACTAAATGAACATGATGCCTCACTGAGGAGGGTTTAAAAGCATAAATGCAAATCTAAAGCAATTTTAAAAAAGTGTTAGCTAATGTAATCAATCATCTATGAAGTGTGAATGTTTGTTCAGCTGGTCGTCTGCAGACCTACCTGTTATCGCAGCCTTTGGGGTTGTCCCCCTGCTGACCATCAGAAGTAAATGCAGGCATGAGCTTCATTTCAAATCCTAAGTATTATATCCACTCCCCACGAACAGCATATGGTTTAAGTGAGACTATTATACATTCGCAGTTCCCATCCTGAGAAGTTATAAACTCCAGTTGTCTTCCCACAGGTCTATACCTATGAGATGAAAATCATTAAAGCAGTTGCTGGAGATGCTGGCGGCTACAGGTGTGAGGTCTCAGCCAAAGACAAGTGTGACAGCTCCACCTTTGAGGTCACTGTGGAGGGTAAGCAAAACCAAACCCTGGTCTTTTAAGACCCACACAGATTCCATAAGTGCTGATGTTCTGATTCGATACGGGTCTAATGCGTATCCTCCACAACTTCTCCCATTACAGTTGCACAGCAGGAGAGCCAAGAGGACATTTTGTCTGCCTTCAAGAGATCGTAAGTGCTTATCTATCAAAGGGAAATGCATATAGGGACTATTTTTAATTAACACTGGTGGTACATGATGATATAGTAAAGTTGAGGTTATGCAATGTCAGAAGATATGCCTGCTCTTGATTACAGCACTGTATATGTGTTTTCATACTCACAGGGATGCTGGAGAGGATGAGGGAGACCTGGATTTCAGTGCTCTACTTAAAGCCACAAAGAAGTGAGAAACTTCAGTGTGATTTTCTTTGCAAATAAACAAGTTTTAAAAAGTTTAAGCATTGCTACTCCTTCATGTTTCTTCTGTTTCAGCGATAAACCCCTCTGCTTTGTCTGACAGGAGAAAGAAGCCTGAAAAAGAGGAACCAGAAATTGATGTGTGGGAATTGCTGAAGAGTGCCCATCCCAGCGAGTACGAGAAAATTGCCTTCAAGTATGGCATCACTGATCTGAGGGGCATGCTCAAACGTCTGAAGAAGATGAAGGTGGTCGAGCCCAAGATCAGCGAGGGTAGGTCGGGTCAGACAAGATGCAAAGGAAGGGAAAGAAGCAGGGGAGCATGTGAAATATGTTGTAAAGCTATCAGGTGGTGGGAGCTTACCTCCCAGGGGACGTGGAGGAGGTAGAGACAGCATTCGGGGAAGTTACTCAGAAGCTGCTCAACATGATTCCAGCTGATTAGTTTTCAGTCTGAATTTGCCTTTTTTTTACAGCCTTCCTAAAGAGACTTGAATCCTGTTACTCAGTGGAAAAGGGGAAGAAGATCGTCCTGAGGTGTGAAGTAGTTGATGCGGACGTCCAGGTCAAATGGTTGAAGAATGGCCAGGAGATCAAACCCTCAGCCAAGTACATGTTCAAGAAGCAAAAGCACACACACACACACACACATACACACACAGACACACACTGGAATTATTATACACTTAGGGTCTATTTTTCACCATTAGCCCCATTCAGGACATTAGCCTAATTAGTAAGTAGTCTTGGGCCTTCCTATCAAGGACTTAATGGGGAGTGTTTTAAAAATATCCCTCTAAAATTATCTGAGCTACAGAGTCATACTCTGAAATGAAGCTGCCATCAACACGTTTTATTTTGGGCCAGTCATAAGGAGCCTCCTGGGGGGGTGGGGCAAGTCGATTTGCCAGGGTATCTCAGACATCATGTAAGCCAATTCTCCTCCAGGTAAAAAAACCCCACACATCTCTAAGTCCGGATGGGGGGAAATCTATGGCTCAGACAAAAACTGAAAACCACAAACTGGGTCTTCTGCTTAAAAATCCGGGATTGTCTGCCAAACTATTAGACTAAATAAAAAGAACTGAGTGAAATGATGTATTAAGGACACATTTGATGGTTTTTATTTGGATTTTCCTGCAAATAAATGTTAAGAGCTCAACATCAAATACAATCCTGCACTCTATTTGACCCACAATCTGCTTCTTCTACCTGTCACTTTTCAAGGTATGTTATGGAGTCTCTCGGGAATGTCAGAACGCTCACCATCAACAGGACGTCCCTGGCTGATGATGCTGCATATGAGTGTGTGGTTGGTGATGACAAGTGTTTCACAGAGGTGTTTGTCAAAGGTGCGTAAGCTTTATTTTGACAGTTTATCACATTATGTCAAATGATTGATAGGAATTTTTGAGCCTTGTGGCGTTAACACCCCTGGATGCTGTTCTGCCCAGAACCCCCTATTACCATTACCAAACTGATGGATGACTATCACGTGGTGGTCGGAGAGAGAGTGGAGTTTGAGATTGAGGTGTCAGAGGAGGGCGCCCATGTCATGTGGTCAGTATATCAGCAGTTCAGCGGTATAGATTTCTGTGTCACTCATTTTCAGCATAAAAAAATAAAGAGGTGTACAAAATCCTATTTATGTTTATCTAAAAAAGCCTATTATGTCTTTTAAAATCATTAGATTAATTTTTGTGTTATTCCTTTTTTGCTGCCACAACAAAGATACAAAATTCCACCAAATTTCAATCAAAGCTTAGTAACATTTAGATTTAGGTGAAGCAGATGAAAAAATATCTTTAAAGTGAGAACTATTTTTAACAAGTTCTCAGTCACTTTTTGCTTTCATAAAAGAACAGGATAGTTTGACACCAAGGAGCACTTGTTTTTGTCTTTTATATGCTTTGAAACACAAATAAAAAAAGAGAAAAACTTAAACTCAGGGGCAGGAAAGATCCAGTAGGAAAAGCCAGCAGGCAGCAGATACAGATCTGGTGCTCAACGACCTTGTGACAGAGTATGCAAGCTAGCGGGTTTTACGACCAGCAGTTCCTACCAGCGCCAACACTCTGGTACGTGAAATGTAAGAGATGACAGGGATCACGAGAAAAGCAGAAAGGGTGGGGCCTCTCTTAGCGCTCACCTCTGATGTACTCAGTAGGGTTAAGCAGGGCCACACCTGACAGAAAGCTACCATATCACTGTACTCTTGTCATCATCCGTCTCCAAGACTGCTAACGTGTTCATGTCCTGGCTCTTGAAGCTTTGGTTCGCAACTTTGTTGTGAGCTCCCCGTTACACCCTAGCTGCTAAAAATAGCAAATTAAATATTCATTATTGATACATTTTATTTGTTAAAGGACCATGTGCAGTATTAAAAATGCATTTTGTTAAGATGTTGAGGTTGATTCACATTGGGAGTTGCTTGGGTCACAATTGAAGGAAACCTCAATAGAGAATAAGCTGACATGTTATTTCCAAACTGTAGGAAGAACTTTATTATAAATGCTGGGCAGCAACAGGTATAACACCTGCTAGTAATAAATACTTTATTATCTGTTCTGGTCCTCCATTGCAAGATTCCTTACAATAAGGAGGTATGTGTATCAATGGTAACATAGTGACAAAGAGCTCATTTTAACGTGGGATTTAATATTGATGACCTACAGAAAGTAGGTTTTCCTGTATAACTTTTAACAGTCACTGAGTTAATGAACTATTTCATTTACGGTGCAGCTGCGTCATATTTCAAAGAGTTTGTTTTTCCATCATTTTGTTTACAAGGTTTTTTGAAGATGTAGAGCTCCACAAAGACAAAGATACAAAGTTTCGCTTCAAGAAAGATGGAAAGAAGCACATGCTGATCATCCCCGAGGCCACGCTTGATGACATTGGAATGTACCACGCTTGGACAAACGGTGGTCATACCAAAGGAGAGCTGGAAGTGGAAGGTACCACTTGAAATTCTGTCCTTAATCTGGATCGTCTTCAAGTGTTTGAAATTTAAAACTTAAATTAATCAGTTTGATTTATGTGCTGTTGGTTTGCAGGGAGGAAAATACTTCTGAAAAAATTTTAAAGGGTTTATGGTCTAGGTTATAAAAGTATTTAATCTAGGTTCCTGTCATTTAAATAGATACCTTTCTCCTTTACCTTCATAAGCACTCTTCCTCTGTGGTATTTAATGTCTCTCTCAGAGAAACAACTGGAGGTGCTGCAGGACATTGCTGACCTGACTGTCAGGGCCACAGATCAGGCCGTGTTCAAGTGTGAGGTGTCTGATGACAAGGTGACAGGAAAGTGGTACAAAGATGGAGTGGAGGTCCTGCCCAGCGATCGCATCAAGATGAGTCACATCGGAAGGTACGAGAATTTGTGAATGAGTTTGAAAATGTTTGCAGGACGCTTTCATTAGTGAAGATCAAACATACTCTGTAAGTTGTTATTTCTAATTCATGAGGCAGATGTTTTCCCTACACCGAATCCTCTCTGCTTGTTTCAGGTTCCATCGCCTGGTTATTGATGATGTGAAGCCAGAGGATGCGGGAGACTACACGTTTATTCCTGATGGATACGCTCTGTCACTTTCTGCCAAACTCAACTTCTTGGGTGAGAAAGACAGAATGATCACAGGGATGCTATCATTCATGCATTAATCATGAGCAGCCTGGGTAATATTGTCAACTCTCTTCTGTGTCCCGAAACAGAAATTAAGATCGACTATGTCCCAAGACAAGGTAGGTAGCAACAAATCAGATCACTTGAGAAATAATTAATAAACCTTCCATACTTTAATCCTCACTTTTGCATAATCTTTTTCTGTCTTTGCATATCTATCATTAACTAGATCCACCAAAGATCCACCTGGACACCTCTGGAAACATGGTGTCCCAAAATACTATCATTGTGGTGGCTGGAAACAAACTACGTCTGGATGTTGAAATCACTGGAGAGCCGGCACCCACTGTGGTTTGGTCCAAGGGGGATCAGGTAAGGGTCATAGAGCACAATCAAGTATTAACCAGAGAAGATGACAAAACTAAGCTCACACAGCAGCCGACTAAAACAGGGAGCAATGAAATAGTGTTCAAAACAAACACGTGGTTCATAATCTTCAAAAGTCATTGCATTCTCTAGTGAGCCTATCATGGCTGTATGGATCAGTGTTTCCTATCAGTAATTACCACCTCCTCTCCCTCTTTTTTTGTTTTTATTTAAAAACCACTTTGCTGGGAATAATGCTTTTCGAAGTTTGGTGAGGACAGAAACCCTGATTCAGCCCAAGATATGCAAGATTTAATCGGATGAAGTTTGTCCGGGGAAGTTTATAAAATCCTTTAAATGTCTGTGGTTTTGTACGTATGTTTCGATTTTGTGTCACTTGGAGTTACTGAGTAAAAAGCGCACAAAAGAAACTTGATTCAACCCAAAAAACTTTCAAAATTAACTTTGTGCAACTCCGTAACTCCGCCCCCGCGTAGTTGTGTCCTCTTTTAGGAAGTCAGAATATGGTCACCCTAGAACAACAGCCAGTGTCCCAAAATACTATCATTGTGGTGGCCGGAAACAAACTACGTCTGGATGTTGAAATCACTGGAGAGCCGGCACCCACTGTGGTTTGGTCCAAGGGGGATCAGGTAAGGGTCATAGAGCACAATCAAGTATTAACCAGAGAAAACTATGTTTATATCATAGTTTAGTTTAGTAGATTGCCAGCATACAGGGAAGTTATTTAGCTAACAAAAGTCAGTAATGTCAGCTGTGAGGTGGTTAAAAATAACATTGGCTTTTGTTACTGACTTGTTGGTATCTTCAGAGTTCAAAAATATCATTCCTCTAGGAAATTTCTTTTTCTGATAAATAAAGACAGCAGTTAATAATTATCAAGTTCTGCTACTTTTAATATGAGGTGATAAGTGTTATGTCACAGAAGCTAAAGCTGAAGACAGAACTACATAGGTGACTTTGAGGTGAAATAGGGCAATGCTAACTTTTACCTAATATCTCAATCACAAAGAAAGCTAAAAGCATCCAGATCTGCAGAGTATTAACATAATATGCAAAATTACCCAGGAGAAATGTAGAATTTGTGTGATCCACAGACACACATGGTAAAAGCATGTTTGATACAGATATTGTTTCTCTGGACAGACTCTTCTGACTGCTTTCGTAGCTCGTAAGAAGGATCGTGGGAGTGATCAAAATACTTCTGTGGTTACCCTGTCTTGGTTCTCAGAACTGCGATTTCCCTGTTTTCTAGCCTATTACAGAAGCCGAGGGCCGCGTCAGGGTAGAGAGCAGGAAAGACTTGAGCTGCTTCGTCATTGAGGGTGCAGAGAGAGAGGATGAGGGCAACTACACCATTGTTGTCACCAACCCTGCAGGAGAGGACAAGGCTGTGCTGTTCATCAAGATTGTGGGTAAGTGATAATCAGCATTAAGTAAGCAGATATTCGTATTTATTTTAATCCTTACCTCTCTAATGTATGTTGTGATCTTTTTCAGATGTGCCTGACCCTCCTGAGAATGTCAAATGCACAGGAGTGGGAGAGGACACTGCCACCATTATTTGGGACGCTCCCAAGTTTGACGGTGGAGCACCACTCAAAGGTATTGGATGGAGTTTGAGTGAAGCATTTCATATTTGATAGCGCTGACATGTGGGATATCTCTTTAATTTATAAGCTGTGGCTCTTCTCCCTCAGGTTATCTCATGGAGAGGAAAAAGAAAGGCTCATCTAGATGGACGAAACTCAACTTTGACGTATACGATTCCACCACATACGAGGCTAAGAGGATGATTGAAGGTGTCCTGTACGAGATGAGGGTGTTTGCCGTCAACAGCATCGGCATGTCTCAGCCAAGCCTCAGCTCCAAGCCCTTCATGCCTATTGGTTCGTATCACAGCCAGCTTTATTCCATCTTTCTTTCTCCCTTTGTGCCTCACCCATGTGGAGTCACACACTGATTCTCCTGAGTGTCTCTCTCTGTCACCCTCAGCCCCAACAAGCGAGCCAACACGTTTGTCAGTGCACGATGTGACAGACACCACATGCAGCCTGAAGTGGCTTGCCCCAGAGAAGATCGGAGCTGGAGGCCTGGACGGCTACACTATTGAATACTGCAAGGAAGGAGGTGATAAGAAAATAATTCTAACATTCATGAGCGATTTAACAACATTCTCATTTGAAATTACAGCTTTAAGACATTCATTTAACAGCTGGCGTTAATCAGTTCTAGAAATGGCTGCGTCAGTCATAAACTTAATAAGAGAATTAGTGTATGAACCCTTTAATTTACAATCACAATGAATATGTGTAATGAAAGTTTAGAAACATAACAGCTAATTGAAATCCTACTCGCTGAGATTTATTACATGTAATTCTCTTTTATCGCAGACACTGAGTGGGTGGTGGCAAACCAGGAGCTGTGTGAGAGGCAGGGATATGTGGTGCGCAACCTCCCCGTGGGAGAGAAGATCAACTTTAGGGTGGTGGCAGTAAACATTGCTGGACGCAGTCCTCCTGCAACGATGGCTCAGCCCGTCACCATCAGGGAGATCATGGGTGAGTCATTCCGGCTCACTCAGACATGAACGGACAACTGGAGCTGTGAACATATTTCATGGATATTATACAGCATATTCTCTCATGGCATTTCTAGCTGACACTGTTATGTCAGTGCACGCTGTGGTTTTTAAATATAGATGCTTTTGTTGCATGATGCAGTGTATCTCACTAAGATTTGTTTTCCTGCTTCAGAGTATCCCAAGATCCGCCTCCCCCGTGAGCTGAGAACAAAATACATAAGGAAAGTAGGCGAGAAGATTAACCTGGTCATCCCCTTCCAGGTTAGAAACAACCTCGAGTGCAGTCTGCGTGATATTCTGTAGCGCTTGATTATAAATCAGAGACTAGGACAAGAAACAGCAGCAGGAAAAAATGAGTTGCACAGGCAGAAATGTCTAGTCCATCACAAGAAAACCTAAATGTTAAATTATTTTGAATTACTGTAGGGGCTGTGAGGAACATTTTAGTATTTGAGGATCATAGAAAAAATATAAACCTTATATGTTTATTAAAGGGAGCTCCACTAATTTTATGCATTCAAATGTGTTATTCAAAGATGTTGGGGATTTCTGCTGCGTATGTGAAAACTTGCATCAAGTCTTGTTATTTCTGGATATTCTACATTGATGTTTAATTTCTTTTTAAATATTCATCATAAGTTTACAAGTGTAATCAGCTGAGAATTATATCAAGTAGAAAACCAAAATTTTATATTTTTCATATTTTTTTAATTCCTTGAAGGAGTTCCTTTTCTAAGACTAAAATTAAGTCTGTGCTATAGTTTGAAAGCTGTGACACAGTCATCTACAACTTTTTTATCTGTTTTGTGATTTCAGTTGTCATCGTATTCTTCTTTAACTAACATCATCTTTTTGCCTCACAGGGTAAACCTCGTCCTGTCGCCACCTGGTTCAAGGACGGTCAGCCCCTCGACCCCAAAATGGTCAATGTCCGTAACTCCAACATCGACAGCATCCTTTTCATCCGTGCAGCAGAGAGAGAGCACTCTGGAACATATGAGTTGGTGTTGAAGATTGAGAACATGGAGGACAGAGCCACCATCAACATCAGGATTATTGGTAAATTTGCCAGGATCTCTGCAATTGGCAACATAAACTCAGTTTACAGATCAACAACTGGCATGAACTTAAAGAGTTGGTCACTTGTCTTGTATTTAACTAGCAGTGCAAATACTCTGGTAAGAGTGAAAGCATAGATTCTACTTCATTGTAAACACCATAGACTGTAAAAAGAATGGACAGAGTCTGCCTCCTTGCTGGGTGAAGCCACTCCTAAAACAGCACCCTCTGTTGATGGGCTGCAGTATAGGTCATAAATCTCGCCTCTGCCAGCATAGTTTATGGGGCTGTGGACAAATTTTAAAAATTCATTACACAGAACATAAAGTTTCTCCCCCCTGCTTGTGATGTTGACATGTAGTTACAGTAAGACTGGTTTGCGCTCAAGTCCTCTTTTTTCTGTGAAGCTCTGTTTTTAAAAGTTAAAAGGAGGTTCATGTTTTCTTCGATTGACACTTGATACAGCCTATTGGTGATCAGGGATTGCGCAGCTCACCTCGGGATTACGCTGTTTGAGCCGAGCGTCATCACAGCGACTCTCGGCGACTCTCCCGCTGAATGCACACAACGCTACTGTGCAGCGCTGGTTTCAGGAAATGAAGAAAAATCCCGGAAACTGAGAGTACAGATCTTTGTTTGAAGCTCATACGTGTTTATTTGTTTTTTTTTATTGATTTTGGCGCCCCGTGTGGGCATTTTTGGGCCCCTAATCTTTCCATTGAGCTTTTCATGTAAATGTGTAAAAAGAGTTTTTACAGTGTCTTTGCAGTCAAACATGTCAGCCACTTTAAAATTAGTAGAAATAGGACAAAAATACTCATGTTTGGTCCTGATACCTGAAAGCTTGACTTTATTACAATAACAGCTTTTTTTTTTTTTTTTTAGTTTGTTTCCTTCCACCTGTGGTACAACATTTGTTCTCATTCCTTTCAGAAAAGCCTGGACCTCCTGTGAATGTGAGAGCGACAGATGTGTGGGGCTTCAACGCAGCTCTGGAGTGGAATCCCCCCACAGATGATGGTAACTGCGAGATTACCGGATACACAATCCAGAAGGCAGAGATGAAGACCAAGGTGAGAAATTCTCCTTAAATAACCTGCAGCTAAATAAACTGGAGCAATGAAATCCAAACATTTGGCATATCTTTACACTCAGTTTGCTACCTTTGTGATTTTAATCTAATCTCCTCTTTTTTTGTCTTTTTCTCTTACCAGGAATGGTACACTGTTTACGAGCACAACAGACGGCCAAACTGCACAGTGTCAGACCTGATCATGGGCAATGAGTACATGTTCCGCGTGTACAGTGAGAACCTCTGCGGCCTGAGCGAAGAGCCACGCCACAGCAAGAATACGGCCGTCATTGCCAAGACAGGTATGCCAGAGTGTTTCAATGTTGAGTAGAGTACAATTTGTGTGTGTGTATGTGTGTGTGTGTAAGAATTTACATGAGTCAGAAATAAGCTGTTTTTCTGCTTTATGGGTGGTTGACTGACTTTTTTCCCCACCTTCCCACCCTTTCTCTTAGGCCTGGAGTTGAAACAAAATCCCTACAAGGAGAAGGACGTGTGCTGTGTGCCCAAGTTTACACAGCCTCTGGTTGACAGATCCGTAGTGGCTGGTTACAGCACCGCCATCAGCTGCTCTGTCAAGGGCTTCCCTAGGGTAAACATGCATGTTGAAGTCGGATCATGATTCAGTGGAAGGGGTTGATAGTACAGCTGGTCATAGGGAAATTTATGTCTGGAGTTAGCAGTGTGCATGTATACACAACTTTGTCAGAATTAGTTTAATTGCATCACTTTTCAAACTTTTACAGCCAAAAATTATCTGGATGAAGAACAAGATGATCATCGGAGGGGATCCTAAATACTTGATGCAGAACAACCAGGGAGTGCTCACTCTCAACATTCGCAAGCCTAGTACCTTCGATGGAGGCAAATACTCCTGCTTAGCCGTCAATGAGCTGGGCCAGGACGAGGTGGAGTGCAAGCTGGAGATTAGAAGTAAGCAGTGCGGAACACGGGTGGCAGAGGAGTGATCGGTCATTTGCCTACAGACAATAATTTGGGGTTTACTGAAACTTGCATGTCTAAATGATGCACAGAGCTGAATTATTTATATATGGCCATATAAAATAGATGACTTATTTTTACCTAATTATGTCATAACACATTTGCTGCTATTGCATTTGGCCTCAAAATCATCATCTCTCCTTTTTCTCCCACAGTTCCTACAGACCCAGACAAGCAGTGAGAAACCAAACAGCAACGAATGTGAAATGATGTGAACCAAACAGTGAATGCCAGTATGTAGAGCACACACTGTCATGAGTTAATTCAATAAAATTTGCCTTGCCTGCTCAAGAAAAGATGGTCTCTTGTTATGTTTTATTTCTATATCAAAATACCCTCCTTTTATTGTCATGTACATCCAGTATAATCTCCTTGTTTGTACCAAAATATAAAAATACAAGGCACTTTATTAATAAGAGGCTGTTTCTACAGCTGAGAGGACACTTTCTGTATTCTGGCACATATATGACAGCGGTCAGCTCTACACCTCCCTGGAGTAATGTGCTCTCCTCCTGCGGATTGCCACTCCTATACTGAACAACAGCGCCACTGCCAGGAGACCCACGGCCACTGCTAGAGCTGTAACAAAACCTGCAGGGGGACAATGATCCTGTTTAGGTACACGTGAATGTGGAACATTTGGAAGCTTTCCAAAAGCTATGATATTTTTAAATCAGACAGTCTGTGCAGAGTGTTCCCACACGCTTCTAGAAAGTGAATACACCTAAACACATTACTCTGAAGCCACAGCGATGAAGACATTTATGTGCACATAGATGCGGGAGAAAATCTACTGAATACCTCACCTGTGCCAGACCATCTCCTCCTAAACCCACACTCAGCCTCCCAGTCTTCAGTCAAAACGTCCTGCACCAGCTCATTAAACAGAGACACATGGCATGGGTTTAACCCATTGCATCCTGGGATTGGGTTTGGGTAAGGGTCACGCCAGGAGTCATTGCGGTAATGTAGCTCCAGAGAATAAGACCTGTGTTATTAGAGGGTAACAGAAGACATGAACAAAGTTAGTTTGAGTATTGAGCAATTTGATTGGCTAAAAGGCTTTACGTAAGTGTTTATAATGTGTACAACAGCACTGGTCTCTTAATGCTCTGCATCACTCTGCAGCTAATAAGTGTTATAAAAAAAAGCATTTTTTTTCAAATTTAATTTAAGACATGTCTCATATTTTACTTGTGTGATTAAAATATATCTGTACATAATATGAGGAAGACATGAGTCAAATTAGGTCCAAAGTTAAGTTTCAATCAAGTTTTGGAACTATTTATGTTTGCAGAGTTACATCACATAAGATTTACTATGGGCCCTTTTTGACCTTTATTGATAGAGGACAGTGGACAGAACAGGAAACAAGGAAGAGTGGAAATTGACATGACAGGGAAGGGGCCACAGGGTGGAATTGAACCCAGGCCACTTGCATATGTGGGGCGTACCTGGACTGCTAAGGCTGTTGGTGCCCTGAGTTCAACTTGACATCAAACTTGACATCTTTGAAACCCCATATTTTAGCCTCTGTCTGAGATGTTTCATTTAAGCCACTGTCCCATTAAGGCTTCCCCAGCATCTCAGAACCCAGCATTCTGGAAGCCTCCCTCACTGTTGCCATGCAACAATGTTGTGTTTCTTTTTATGAAATGACATATTTGCCCTTTTTGAGGAGATTCACTATCAGTTTGAGCAAATTTTGTATTGTTCTTGCTGAATTTATGTGGGACTTTCTGAACAAGCCATTCAGAGCTCTCTGTAGTCCCATTGGGGATCACTCCAACACACATTCAATTTACAATCGTCCAACATTTTAACTTCACATTTATTTTCAAAAAATAGAAAAAACTAACTCTTTAACCAGCATATCCTGCAGGTAAAGATGGTGAATAACAGCAGTATCACAGTAAAGGTCATACTGAATATCAAGACAGCTGTAAATATAAGCTGGTGAGTTTCATGCCTATGTGAAATGTCTTTGAACTGATGAACTCAGATGAACTGATGCACAGTGTCACAGCATTTATCCTTGTGTCGTATTGCCTAAATGTATCGTGCTGATTGAAATGTTTTGCTCCTAAATAATTGTCTGGTTCTTTTTGAAGTGAAAGTCAAACTTGAAAATTTTGGCGTGGCTAAACTGTTAACTGCAGTATTTAAAACCGAGCTGTGATATGGCCCTCTGACCTAGATAAGTGTCATTTAATATGAAGAGCGTATGACGTGAAGATGGCAGGACGTCATTACCCATCATACTCCTGGTAGAACTCAAAGAGCTGACAGGCGGCGTACGGAGGAAGGAGGCCGTTGTACACGTCCAGAGCCGCCTGGAGGGTGATGAGTGTAGAGTCATGCTGAAACAAGAAACAAACATCCCAGCGCTAACAAGTAAGCAGGCGAGGAGATGTAGAGCAGCAGTTTGTGTGATGGAATTTTAAACGTTTTGAACTCACAGCTGAGTACATTATGAATTTCAGAGGGCTCCCTTGCTCCACAGCTCTAGAGAAATTCCTCAGGATGGCGTTCAGTAGCACCCCTGGTAAATTAACACATCAGTGTCAACAGTGCAAATGAAATTTCCTTACACCAACACAACCCCTCTGACCTTACTGAGCGTCTTGTCTTAGCGCCATAATCATCTTAGTCCCATTAGCTCATATGTGCTAATATGCTTTTGAGAAACTTGACCCTGCATAAACAAAACCTCGGCCAGCAGTCACAACATTAGATACTCTGCTCTTTTTTTTTTCCTTCTGATATTTTTCTCACAGAACTGCTTTTAAATTAATTGCTTCTAATGTGAATCCTCACCTCCTGAGAGCCGGGCCTTTTCCTTGCGCTTGTGACTGAGGATGCTGTACATGACCTCGAACGATGCCACTCGCTTCAGGGTGTCCAGAACGTCTTGGGTGGCCCAGCGTGGGAGAGTCAGGTTATGGATCCTCTGCACAAAGAATAAACATTTATTACACTACAACGCGTTAATAATCACATTACACAGCTTATGTATTGCAACAATGGGGGTTCAAATGGCTGTATCCCATCATTTCTATTATCCTGTTTCTATTTTTAGAGCCAGTCTGAAGAAAACAGATGCTCATTTTGCAAGTGTGAATGAGCACATTCAACCTGGCCTAGAATCCACCTAAATCATAATAATGTGATTATCATTTCAATATGTTGTTCTATCAATGTATTCTTGCAAAGAAATGATTTCCCAGCACTCCAGCAACCCATCCTCATTTCTCTGCAGACTCGCTTTCCTCCTCTTCTTGTTTGACTCTCACTGCTTTGCACCCTGGGTTTGCTGAAGTGTGAAAAAATGGAGTTAAAGGGATAGTCCTGGATTTTTAAAATGGAGTTGTATGAGACACTTGTCAATAGTAAGTGCATTAAACAAATGAGGTGTCAGTTCGAGTTAAAGTTTAGTCACGCTTCATCAAATACTGTTCCATTATAAGTGAAAGTTGCTCAGTTAAATTATTCCTTGTACTCAAGTACTTTGTTTTAAAAATAGATATAACTCAAACTACTCTTTAAAAATTTCAAAACGTGTTTCACATTGCATGAGCACACCTATAAATACATGAGTGAACATATTTCTATTTAATGGTTGTCTAGATGACATTATCTATATTTTTTAGACTCATATGCTATAGATTCACAGAATTGTACCTCCAAAACAATAGAGAAAATTTAAAAAATGAAACAATGAATCAAAATGGCAGCTAAGCACAGGCAAGTTCACCTGAAATGTTCATTTGGAGTAAAACATTTTAAGCTATATAGCTTAACATTGGTCTTGGATCATATGGTTAGTGTCTAGTAAGCATAGGAAACATTTACAAAGATATCATTTATCATTATAAAAACCCTCAAACACAGGCATGAGATATGGCTATGGTGCTCAGGTGGAGAATCCTCAGCCTTCTCAGTCTCTCACCGTTACCTCTACTGAGTAAAATTTATTCGTATTTGCTCTATGTTTAACGGCGGCTATTACTACATCAGACTTTCACCTCAATATTACTGTGGTCAGAAAACATTATGATAACAATATTATCGCCATTTATGAAAACCTAAATACAAAACAACACAATCAATCAAGCCAAAACAAGAGAGGAGCAACACATTACTTTGTAACCGCAACTTATACACCCTGTTACTTCCGTGAAGACTTTGCTTCATTTAATGCCTTTTTTATGTTTCCATTTTAATATTTTTTCTATCTCAGGTTTTGGTTGCTTCATTTCCATTGTGCTACTTAGGGTAGATCACAAGTTACAAAATTGAATGAAAACAGATGAAAGAACAAGCAAAGTGTAAAAGTGCAGTTAAAAAGCTCTAATGTTGTTTTTGGATCTACAACAAATCTTGAACATCAGTTTGAAAGCAACCTAATCATCTCCTGTGAGCTGCTTCAGCTAGCTAGCTCACAGTCTGCAACTTCTCCCTTGTTTTTCCTCTGTTAGATCACGTCTGGCAACAAGCATAAAGAACCACCCACAGTATTACTGTATATGATTATTTGAGCATTATATCTTTTTTTTTTTTTTGTAAAGACAGTCATCACAAATGTTGGTATATTGTGATGGCCCTACAGTCAACCACAAATGCTTGCAACTGACAGATACAGCAACATATGTAGACAAAACCTTTCACTGAACTGTCTTTGTACACATTAGTGCATCTTTCAAATCAGTTTAAAAAAAAAAGATAATTAATCTGCTAACTTTAGAAGACAGTGAAGATGAACGAGAGCCTTTGTAGGCATGTTGTGGAGTGGAAAGAGCGATAAACTGTATGTCTAATAAGTTTTGATGTAGAAATTATAGACACTTGCGTAAGTGATTGATAACAGCCTGAGATATTTTGGAGGATCAGTCGTGTAAACAACTGTGCGGTCGTGTAAGCAACTAAGAGGTCAGCCTGAACTTTCCTCAGATTGCCAAAGTTGAGGGGGTCCCAATGTTTGCCAGGAAGTTCCCAGAAATACTAATGTCCCGTAGAATTTTGGAACAGTGTAACATGTCCTTGGCTAACCTCCCAGGACTCGGGTTATCAGGCAAGAAAGACTCACACTTGCAACACACACACTTGAGGGGTGCACATTTGTAACACACACCTATTATGTTCACACACACACCAAGCAGCATAAAGGTCCTTTTACACCGGGACCATTTTTGTCGTGCGATTATTTCAGATGTCAATTTTTTTTTTCGAACCCGTATCCTGTCAATACAAGTGTTCACATCAGTGACGTTTTCCCATCCTGCGATATTGCAGCATTCATTTTTTCGTTTCTTAGCCGATTTTTCTAAAGTTTTGCGTACTGTGTGTCCACTTCTGACCTATCACATTGCGTGTTGTTACAACATCAGATTCATCGGCATATTCAACATGGCCGACGGTCAGTCTGGTGTTGTGTCAGTCTTCTTGCTCCCACCCGGGACGCGTCTTTTTTCCCTCTGGAAAGTCACAAAATTGCATCGCACTTGATGCGTATGGTCAGGTGCATCAAAATTCGCCTCTGAATATTTCGTAATTTCACATCGTATACTTGCGTCTTTCCTGGTGTGTAAGGACCATAAGAGTGAGTGTGAGGAGAACTTGGGGCTTCCTCCGATGACTCTGTCAACTGTAATGATTTCTGCATCTGTACAATAGAGATGCCCAGGCTACTCTTCAGATATCATCCTGCCTCCTGTGCATCGATTTGCTGCATACTATGCACATATCCACAATAGTTTCCACAGATTAACACTAATGCAAAGTATTAATACTCAAAGAAAAATGTACCTCAAGCTTTCTCACTGCCTGTGAGTAATGTAATTTCAAATGACAAGTATTTCATATAACCCCACATGAAAATAGTTGAACTATCCCTTTAAAGTGAAACACTGAGAATACCTGACAGTTAAGTGTGTCGTAGACCCTCCATATCTTTTTGCCGACCAGTTTGGAGACGGGGTAGCCAGTGTGATTTGAAAGTCCCTCCACAAAGTACTGCAAATTTAAGGAAGAAAAAATAGAGCATCATGTTAGAAAAAGTACCAAGAATACTTGATAAATGCATATATAATCTGGATTTAGAGTCCAGATTGTGTTACATCTCCTCTTAAAAGAATTAAAAGCTGAAGAACTGATTCAAAAAAAAACTTGCCCAGATACTGAGATCTTTTTCAGATAACTAGATTCCACATAATGTACTCAAAAACGCTTTAAATGTAACAGTCGGCTCTCTGATGTGAATAGTTTTACCTATACTTTTTACTGTTTATAGTTTATACTGTTTTTTCCTCTGCAAAGCTGTGGTTCTCAAGCTAGATCATGATATAAATAGTTAAATCTAGAGGGTTGTAAGATATTTAACAGGTCCAGAAAGGGGAAATTGTGCAAAAAAATGGTTTTTATTCATAATTTACCACTCACAATTCATAAATATCTGAATGCTGACAAAGTGGCCGGTACTAAGCGCAGCCTTCCTGGTCACTAGATGAAAAAATTGAACCAACCAGATTAATCTTTAAAATCTGTCATATATATCATGGGTGTATGGTTATTTTGACCATTGAAAATACAAAATGACTCCTCCTCGGTTTCAGACTTTCTGACTAGATGTGGTTGATTTTATGGTTCAGGGTTGTGCTGGGGGTTAGTTTTAAATCCTATCACTAAGGCCCCATTTTGATTCTCCTGTGCGACTTGCAGGTGATTTGCCTCCAGCAGAGGGTGTTCAAATTCAACCCAGGAGGCTCTGTGCTGATCTCCAACTCCACCTAAATATGCAACACATGGGACTCAGTTTAATTAAAAGGTTTTCATTGTAATTCTTAATCTAATTCAATCCAAGCATTAATTAGCGTCTCAGAGAATGTGAGAGAAATTGCACTGTGCAGCTTTTTCGAGGCACTGTAGTCACTGTGCCTGAGAAAAAAATCACTGTGAGGGCACGATGTCTACGGCAGAACTAACACGTCCTCTGGAGGTGCCGATCGCACTGGCACCAGCAACTGTGAAGTATATATCACTCTGCAGAGAAATGTGCTTTTAGCGGTGTTTGTTAATTGACAAATGGAGGGGTGGATTAGCTGAAAAGAAACAGCTGAGGTGAACAAAAACAGGATCAATCACAGCAATTCTAATTCTGTAATCCCGTCATGAAAAACAAGAGTTACAAACAAGTTTTACAGACATGTGAGTCATCGGAAAGTGGTATTTAACACAAACTAAGCAGTGATTAGAGCCCTCACGTCATTGAGGATGAGTTACAGCACTGAGTCTGAATTCTTCTGTGGTTTCTCACCTGATGAGCCCTGAGGAACCTCTGGTAAGGCTGACTTTCAAAGGTTTCTGTCATCAGGGATCTGAACCTCGGACAGTCTTTGCCTGGAGACCTCAGCAGCTTCAAACAACATAAAAACAACCGCAGATCTTCAGAGGGGGGGGAAATGCAACTGTATGTTCATTTCACAGGAGTCTGATCACGCCAGGTTCAGAAACATAGAGCTGCAAACAGACTTAAGTTAACATGCACGAATTCTCTTCAACGGCTGTGTGTGAGAGGAAATATTTATGTGGCTCTGCAGCACACCTTGTCTTGGGCCCTGGGGATGGTATGCACTGGAATAGGCCGCCACAATAACTGGGGCATGATGGGAGGCAGTCGCCTGGTTGGGGGAAACATCCCGGCGAGGCAGGCCTGAGCGCTCATCAGAGTGCGGTCGTAGTCTGTGCTCCGGACATACAACTGTAAGGTGCATGGAGAGAACTTGGTTTTAAAATGTGTTAGACATGTAACAGATGATGTATTATTTCAAATCAGACTTCCAGGCTTTTGTAAAGAAAGTGAAAATACATTCCCAGACCCTAAAGAATTATATTTCCATCTTTATTTCTATCTTTAATCCAGTAAAGATGGAAAATAAATGCAGCCAGCACACTAAGTATCATGAGCTGACTGTATTTATCTCAAGTCAACCGAGGTATTCCCTTCACATGGAGAGGAGGGGGAGTCAGAAAAAGATACAAATAGTTGAAGAGAGGGATGGGGAGAAAAAAAAAGATCCTTCTCACTGTGATCTCTTCTGACATCAGCCTTCGCTCGTCTATATCTCTCCGTCACCCGGTGTCAGGTTTTTGCACACAGTAAATCACGCTGATAAGGTTGGATGTTCCTGTGATGCCGAGAATGCTTTTCTCTTTTTTTTTTTTTTCCTCTGCAGCCCTTTTGTCAAATTAAAACAGACATGGCAGCGCAGGGAAAGGTAGGGGATAAGTTGACGGAGAGTTGGGTGACAAATCAGCATTGACAGGTAGTGAAGAGAGTTGTTATTTTTGGGGTAATTGCGTGTTATTTAAGGAAGGATGGAAAGGACCGACCAAAGGGAGGGCAAAAAGGCAGTGAATGTATAAGAGAGTAAGACAGGAGAATAAAGTCTAAATCACATCTTCATAATGACTGTATGCTGAGCACGCAGCCCAGGGGCCCAAGGGCACACAGGACTAACATGCATGCTGCCAACAACACTGTACATGAAGCCTAGAGGCAACATTAGCCTATATGTCAGTGCTTTGACTGAAATGAGTCATGTTCATTAACTTAATGTCTAATGTTAAATGTTATCATTATAGAAGAAGGTGTCGCCACTTGTGAACAAGATCTCACATGCAGCAGGCCTGACAACACAAGGTGACACCTTAACCTCGTACAAATACACCAACCTCTCTGTTATTGTAGTCCTCGCTGAGAAAGTTCCCGTATCGCCTCCTCAGGAACTGGCCCAGCTCAAACTGTTGTTTCATGCCCAGCTGGAAGGAAAATTGCAGCAGCACCGTTAATTTTTGTCAAATCTGACCTTTAGCTAAAGATATGGCAGATTCAAAGTCAGATTTCATGTATTTACACAAAACAACCTGTCTACAAGGCCTCATAAGACCCGGAATAATAAATGTAGTCACTGTAAACCGGATAATTGCCTCCAAGCGGAACAATGTCACTGTAGGTGGAGTTTAATTAAAAGTTTACATCAAGTTTCTTTTCCACCTCTTAAGACTTTGAGAGGCCAAAAGTGAAATATACAGTCATCCCCGATGCCACTCTACAGATACTGTGCTCACAGATGTGAAGTCTTTTGTGTCACTATTATTCCAGAATTGGCCCCTGAATGGTGTCCCTGAGGTAAGAAACCCTTCAAACATGATCTGTTGTGCATCCATAGGATCACTATGCCCCTAAGTCAGAAGAATTGTTGTCTCATATCATTATGGTGATGATGAGTACAGGTGGTGATGTAAAGAATAAAACTGCAGATGCAAGTGGCCCAAATAAATTTCCTCCAAAGTGTGGCCATAGAGACCGAGTCAGGAGTCCGGACAGTCAGAGGAGGCTTGGCGTAAAGCCATTGAAGGGATTCCGTTGAGCTGCTAGTATTTGATAAGGATGCCTCCAGGACCTCCCCCTTAAGAGGGGTTCTTGGTGGGCCTAGCTGGGAGGAGGCCACAGGAAATACCCAGATCTCACTGGAGGGATTAGATATCCCATCTGGTCTTTGGCTTCTGCAGGAGGAGCTTGAAAATTGTTGCAGGGAAGGAGTCGTGTGCTGCTTAGATTGATAATTCTGAACCCAAACCCTGCACAAGTGTAAGAGGATGGATGCATGGATGGATGGATGGATGGACAGATGGATGGATAAATGTATGGATGGATGGACAGATGGATGGATGGATGGATGGATGGATGGATGGATGGATGGATGGATGGATTTGTGAAAGGATGGATGGATGGATGTTCAGATGGATGGCTCGATGAACAGATGGATGGATGGATGGATGGATTTGTGAAAGGGTGGATGGATGGATAGATGGATGGATGCTTGAATGAATAGATAGATGAATGGTTGGATAAATAGATGGATGAATGGATGTCCAGATGGATGGCTGGATGAAAGGATGGATGGATGGATGGATGGATGGATGGATGGATGGGTGAATTTGGACGGTCGGATGGATGCTTGGATGAATAGATGGATGAATGGATGTTCAGATGGATGGGTGGATGAACAGATAGATAAATGGATGGATGAACAGATGGGTGGATGGATGATGTACCACAACCCCACACAACCATCTGTAGCATATCATTGATATATTGAAGAACTGGATCCAATATTTTTAACTTATGAAGCTTAGAAGATTTAATGGAATCCAGTATTTAGGCACTGGAGTCCAAAACCCAAACTTAAGTCTGACTCACGTCCTGTTTTTTAAGGACTCATTATTTGGTATAGACTTGGGCCGTGATGACTCAGACATGCACCTGGACTCAAGCACTGACTGCATTGGGACTCAAGAGATAAAGAAGAAGAGTCCTTTTCAGCAACTACCTACAAGAAAGACAGCACACAAATATCTCTAAAACAAGCAAGAGCAATACAATATGTAAAAGAACTGCCGAGAGGGGGACAGGGACAACTTCGGACTTTGACAGACATCCATGTAGGGTGCACCCAGAAAAGTAAATGAAATAGTAAAATAGTTTTAGGGTTTTTTTGTCACTGTACTCATATTAATGAGAGCAGTCTCTTTTTTTTAACCTCCTCCTCTCCCTCCCTCTTGTGTGTACTTTCCCCATCTGTAAATGCAAATTTCGTTGTGCACAGTTGCAATGACAATACAGACCATACCATACCATAGTTTTGGATTTAGTCGACCACCGCAGGGATTCCATAGAAACAAAAAAAATGTTTGCATCTCCCCATGACGAGATGTGCTGTGAGCATTAACGCACAAGACACAGTAGCACTGCAACTTCATTGATAATTGAAAACTCTGGATGAGCTGACAGGATCGGTCAGAATCAAATGTTCGTGAATGAAATGTCTTTTCTGTTCATCTAGCAGCTCTTACTGTCAGTCCAGGTTCAAACATGGAGTAGTTTGGAATGAGTCAGCATCCCCCCTCATAAATCTTTAGGTAATGGGGACTCAACTTGGACTTGGATCCTTTTTTGGTGACTTGGCTTGGACTTGAATAAGTCTGGATAAGTTTGGAGACATCAGTACTGACTTGGACTTCAGTTTTGGTGACCTTAATGTAATGTTGACTAAATCAGTTTAGTATTTTAGCCAGCAGCAGTTTTTCTAACCCTGCCTCTCTGGTTTTAGCTAACTCTTAACTTGAGATCTGTGGAAAAAGGCTACCAACTTGCTTGGTGCATTCTGTTGGGAACCAGTATATACTGGAAAATGTTCAATCGGTGGATTTTGTATACACTTGTAAGCCTTTCATATTTCCCTAGACTGTTGGCTAAATCCTGCCACAAGAAATAATAATGATGCCCCCTCACACACACAAACATGCTTACTCATACCTCAGTCAGTTGTCCAAAACCTTGAGCCCACACTTCCTCCCCATGAGGGTCACGGGGATACGACTCAATCGGCGATCGATCACCATGTCGGAACACCTTAAAAGTCAAAACACATTATATCACATGGATTCAGTTGGGACGCCATGCTGCTGTGAGTGACAGCCATTACACTGTGTACTTCAGAGAAAGAAATCCAGCTTGACACACAAGCCAAAAATAGAAACCTGTGATCTTGGACAATTTAGTGTTGGTTTGAGACACAAAAGAGTCACTTTGATGATGACATCAGACACAAAAGCAGGCGTGTTATTAACCTGAGGACTCTCTGAGTCATGATGTGACACACAGGTTATCTAAACTGGATTATGGACACACATGATTCATCCTTGTGATACCACAGGATCCCACAAAGACAGGTCAACAAAGTTGTGGTTTGCTTTTAGAGGTAATTCTCCCACTCCAATGGTCACTGCCATCAAAATTTCATACCCATTTCAATCATTTTTTCATAATCCTTGATGTCCTCTGATCATGTTTGCAACATAATTTTAGCTGAAAAGTTATTTGATGGTTTGTTTTAGTATGCCTAAAAAACCTTACAGGAAAACCAACTGATTTTGGCTCATTAACATTTATGGTAATGAGCTTTGCTCTGATTGGATCGCTGCTGTGAAGCCTGCTGTGCTCTGATTGGCTCAGCAGTGGAGGTTCGGATTTCGGTTCATCCATTCTGCTAATGTGTGCTAAAGTAAGGTGCCCAGATGTCTGTAATGATATCCGGGGACATTCGGTGCGGCGATGGGGAGGGTGCAGGGGCTGTGTGATCACAGACAAAATCTCGGTACTATTTAGTAGCAGCGCATGCCCCTTGTAATAACCCCCGTAAGAACTGTTGTTCAGGACTGCTTACTTGTGCTTCCTACCTATTCGGCTACTGTAATAACCGTTGTTCGAGCCCACACACAACATTTTTGCACTCATTCACGAAACGCTTAAATCGGGGACATTTTCGGGGACAGCTTTTGCCGGGGACAGGTCATCCAATACGGGGACTGTCCCCGGAAATCGGGGACGTCTGGCCACCTTATGCTAAAGGCTAAAAATGGCAGGTATTAAACCATATATTTTAGACCCCGAGTCCAAAGAGGAGGTGGAAGTTGAGGAAGAAGCCGGAGATCTCCAGCGGTGTTTTCTCATTCATTCTGCCCAGCTTTAAGTTCATTCTCCCGGCAGTGAACCCAGGGAAACACCGGTCATTTGGAAGAGACCCATAGCAGATACAGTGGTAGCTGGGTCTCACTCTGGAGAGTGACGTTGACTGTGAATGAGTATGAGAACGAGAGAGTGGGCGCGGCTCACCGAGGACGTGCTCGTGAATAATAATGACCAAGGTCAGCGTGACGTCAGAGGGACCTGCTTTTTCAATTGGCCTGGTTTACCCTTTTCTTTTTTTAAAACCTTTACAGAATGCAAACGACGTAATAGTTTGTTTTCACATTTACAACATAAGACGAACATAATATGGACCTTATCTGACACAAAACACACAAAATTACATTTTTTGATGGCAGGTCCCCTTTAAGGAAAAAATTAATTCCTCATATTAAAGTGTTTAAACTCAGTTACTCTAAATAAGCACAGATTATAAAAACTCTGCTGCCTAATTATTTCAGACCATTAACATGAAGTAGAGCTGCTCTTAGCTTTAGAGTAATTGTAAACAGATGGGTTAATTTATACTGTAAAACAAAAATACTGCAGTGCATTTGTTTCAGCCCACAGTCAAAGAAAGATTGATAAATTCAAGCAAAATGATGTCATGATAAGAAAAAAAAAACACTTGTGATTTTCTCTAAAATCCTCAAACTGTCTGTTTCATTCCATCACTGCAGTATGTGTTATAAAAAAAACGCAAAGAGGTTTATGAACAAAGCTGCAGTGTCTGGGAAAGATATGCTGGAAACTGTTGGAGTTTGGGCTCAGAGTAATCCTTTGTGACATAAATGTGTAAATATAGTAATGCTCAGTGAGCAGAAAAATACAGTGTAATCAGCAACAATGTACAGTAATGTCACTCTTTAGAGATGTGAAGTGGCTGCAGGATGATGCTCAAACTCCAGGGTTCAACTAATAGACCTGTCAGTAATGCACAAATATCTTATCTGTGATTACACTTCTGGTGGACAGCTTTTAAGAAAATGGTCAAATGTCAGACAAGCACAGGAAAGGAAGAAAAAAACATGGCAGACTTACAGCCACAACGAATTTCAGCACCCGACACTCGGTCAAGCAGATGCAACAGAGGAGGAGGAGGACACAGACAAAACTTTCATTGAACTTCAACATCGTTTTGACTGGTTGATCCCTGCGTCCCTTCAGATTGTATCTGTGTGAATGAGAGACAATAAGACAAGAAATATAACTTCTAAAAGGCCTCAGGAGCTGAAAATCATGAGTAAATGTATATCAGTGTTAAACAAACTGCATTCTTATATGAAAATTCAAAGTTATTTCTTCGTTTCTTAAATACTTAAATACTGTAATCCTGTATCTGGGTCTGCTTAAACTAGAGAACCAAATGTGCAACAGAGCACATGTGCAAGATTGATAATTTGCACTTACCTCAGCACACTTGTTCACACATTTTCTTATACAGCAGAGAATAAAGACAGGAGAGGTAGACTGCTGTGCATGAGAGGAAAAATATCAAAATTAGGAGCAGAGGCGTATGAAAACTTTTTTTTTGCCCAAACGTATTTGAGCAAAAAAGATTGTAATATGTAACATAATAGATCAATCCCATAACATAAGTGCAAATGTTTTGTTAAACACCACTGTCAATTTCATTCCATAGTTAAAAATTGGATGCACAAATAACAGAGAACTGGTAGAGCAAAATGACATGTTAAAAAAAATAGTAATAGTAATAATGTTAATTAACATTGCTCTTACCTTAGCACACTTGGTCACACATTTTCCTTTTCATCCAAACTAGTTTCAGACAGAAGGAGCTGACTTATGAGCATCCCAAACCTGCAGCTGTCCCCAGATTGACATTAAGTGCATGTTGCGCTAAAAGAAGGAGTGCTTTTATAGTCCTCCTACCTGACCTCGTGTCTCTCTCTCTCTCCCAGGGGATTTCTGGTCCCACTCTACTTCACCCTCGACTGGAGCCCAAATCACTCCACTGTCTCTGCCAGTTCCCCCGCTGTGCACTGACATGGCATCCCCCTCCTCCTCTCCTCCTCTCCCTCCCTTTAGCCATCATATTTGAGTCAGTATCTTAACTTAAAAACACGTTTGTCCTGTCAGTGTGGATGGCCACACTTGAAAGCCACAGTCACACACTTTTAAGGCTTTTCAGCAACAATGTGGCAAAGAAATGGGTTAAGACGCACCCACCTGGCTTCACAAAATTTACTCCTACAACCGTAAACACATAGACACTCTTACACACTGGGCCCAGGGCCACAAACACTCATTATAACTTACTATGTCATCCGCTGTGGGTTTGGACCCAAAATTACAGGGCCTGCAGTGATTTCCCTGACTCGACACACATGTAAGTATCTGTTAGTATCAAAGCAGCTTTATGGGATACAATGAGATTAGTGAGTGTGAAGATGTGAAGCTATACAGCACTGACATCATGCTTGATAAGTGTGAGATACGATCTGTTGTGCTCTGTAACACATAAGGATGTATTCGCAGAGGTGACTTGTGAAACATAAATGTTCTCAACAATTGCATTCATTATATGTAGAACAAGCAGTGTAAGTAATCCCTTTAACTACAATAAAACTAATAAAACCACAATGTGAAAACACTCAGCTGTATCCTTTATGCCCAGAGAATAAGTCTACTGTTACATTTTGGCATTGTTAACAAAATCCCATGGTTTTTCCAATACAGCAAATTCCTCTGTGCTGCAAACATCCGTCATAATACAAAAACATATTATTTAAACACATAATTGGACTGTGTGACTTGTTGCTTTATTGTAATTATAAAGCACAAGAAAAATGATTTAAAGCAGTAATGATAATAATTTACTTTGCAGTAATCCTGTGAGAATGTTTTTACTTACTGTGGCACAATATCCGTGAGCAATAGTCTAGTTAAAACTACCATTAAAGAGAATTATGTAAACATGTGTAAAAAGAAAAAATAAACAGGGGAAAAAATCCATATATTTATGAAAAAGATTTTTTTACAGTGAAGAAATGGGCAGAGAGTTGGAAAATACATTTGTTTTCATACAAAATTAGTCTCTCCTCCATGACTCCAGCTACCTTCTGCCAAGTTTCTATCCATTGTCTTGACATACTGAAACCCAGAATAACCAAACTTGTCCATTCAGGTCTAGACATGCTTCTGATGCTATGACATGATTGCGATCAGCTATCTATTGCGTTCTTTAAATATTAGCAAATACTGAAGCATACAGATTTTTTTGGACAGCTTGTTAAACTCGCAAGTAAGAAGTACCCTTATATTTAGGTTCTGGGTGATAAATGCTGTCAGTGGACACAGGCCCTTTATGCTAAAACGTTTCAAGTATTTGTGTTGAAGTTAAGATTTTGTAATACAGACAAAATAATTGTATCAATAACTTGACTTAAGTAATGGTTTGTGCAAATCACCTTGCAAAAACCGGAATAAAATTCTGATATTCATACTGCTACTTTGAATTAGTGGACAGTATATTTTTAGGTAGGTGGGGGCTAACAGGACATGTCCAGATCTGTGTGGTGACAGGTGTACTTTGCGATGCTTTGAGTATTACAAGCTGCATATTTGTAATGAGAGTTACTGAAGAAATGAAGCATAGCGGTAGTTCAGGCAGGTCATGGAGTCAAGCTAAAGGCTACAGTCAGCTGATCTTAAGCCAGCCTGCAGTCAGCTGACAGCTCAGCTGATCACCCTCTTCACATCCTATTGGCTAATGTCAAAATGGCACCCTATTTAAACTGCTTCTCCTGCCTACTCTGCCTGCTGCAACCACTCTGCAACCCACCTCCACCTCAGCTCCTCCTGTTTATGTTGTGTCTGATCTTACCAGTGTGATATGTATTGTCACTGATGCTTGCTCTGTTCCGGGCAGGGATCTTTATTTGTTTATCTTAATCGTATTTATTTGCTGCTGCTTTCTATGCCTGGCTCTTCATGTATGCACATGAAAGGGCTCTCCCCTCATATAGCCATGGCATTCCGTGTAAGCGCATGGAAGGGCAGGGAACCCTCAGAACAGAGCCATACCGCCAATGTAGAAATGTTTGCTTGTAATAAATAATCAATTTTGACTAAAGTGATCCTGACTGAACTAAAGTTTTCGACAATGTGATGGAGCACCGTTCAATGCCCCATCATTCCCCAACTGGCGCGGGTCTCTCGCTCGTGGCCTGAGAGTGCCAGCGCCGGAAGAGCGCATGGAGTGCACTGGATCCCCGCAGAGCCAAGCTTTGTCAAACTCTTTACCTGTTTTCCCGCACCTGTGTCCTCCAGTCCTGCACTCCAACCAACCATTCCCGGACTCTTTTTTCCCTGCTGTAGATGTTTGAGGGTGCACACTTGACAACTACATGCCACACATAAATACACCCACTTTCCTGCTGCCATCTTACAAGTCAAACCCGAGCACTTGCTGATCCCTTAGTAAATTGTGCAAGGTGGCGCACTTTTGGGGGTCATGTGACCGCCAGACCATACCAGTATACAGTGCATCCGGAAAGTATTCATTCCACATCTCCTCAGAGGAACACTGGAGCTCTGTCAGAGTGACCATCGGGTTCTTGGTCACCTCCCTGACCAAGGCCCTTCTCTCCCACTTGCTCATTTTGGCTGGGCAGCTAGGAAGAGTCCTGGTGGTTGACTAGGAAGAGTCCTGGTGGTTCCAAACATCTTCCATTTCTTAATGATGGAGACCACTGTGCTTTTTAGGATCTTCAATGCAGCAGATATTTTTCTGTAACCTTCCCCAGATCTGTGCGCCGATACAACCCTGTTTCGGAGGTCTACAGACAATTCTTTCGACTTCATGGCTTGGTTTGTGCCCTGACGTGCTCTGTCAGCTGTAGGATCTTATATAGACAGGTGTGGCTTTACAAATCATGTCCAATCAGCTGATTTGCCACAGGTGGACTGCAATCAAGTTGGAGGAGCATTTCAAGGCTGATCAGTGGAAACAGGATGCACCTGAGCTCAATTTTGAGTTTTATAGCAAAAGATGTGAATACTTATGTATATGCAACATTTGAGTGTCTTATTTTTAATAAATTTGCAAAATGCTCTAAAAAAAGTTTTTCATTTGTCATTATGGGGTATTTTGTGTAGAATTTTTGAGGGAAAAAAGGAATTTAATCCATTTTGGAATAAGGCTGTAACATAACAAAATGTGGAAAAAGTGAAGTGGAATGAATACTTCCCGGATGCACTGTAGTTGATTTGTGATATTTTGTCTGATTTATTGTGTTTTCAAGGAGTAAGGTCATAACTGTAAGGAGGGCTATTAGTGCCTTTTTGTCTGTGGTGAAATGCCTGATTGATTGAGGAGTTTGTGTTGTATTTTGCATATGGTATCTTAAACCCCTATAATTTATTCATGGATATGCCCAGGGGAGGGGCTCGGGGGGTTTAAAAGAAGGCTGCCTTGGCATTCCTTGGAGTGTGGAGTTGGTTGCAAGGAAGGTAACGACTGAACTGATAATTTTATATTGCTGCTGTGTTGCTGATTATTGTTCTTGAGCAAGAATTGTGAGTTATTTTAGAACTCCTGCGCTGCCGGCATTGTCTTTTTTTTTTTTTTTTTTTTGCCTTGTACTTTTTTTGTAAATAGTGCTTTGATCATTTTTGCACCTTTTTGTAAATATTTTTGCACCGCACCTTGAAAAGCCAGCTATAAATATCATCATAACCATATTTTTCGACTGCACCTGTTTTCGATTGTTTGAGAGAAAACCCCGTGACAGACATGCTTGTTGAAATAAATTTCCACCTGATTTGGGATTCAGTTTGACATTAAGATGGTTAGAATTTGAAGTTGCACAAAGTAGAAAGAATGGAGTGAGTGAGTAACAACAACCTCAAAGTACAGTTGTTGAGTATCTATATCAAATCACTTTCTCCCACTGTGCAGATCTCTCTCTGCCCATCTGTTTTATTCTCTCTCTTTATCCCACAACAGTGCACACCAATCCCCTCACTGTGTAAAACACACACACAAACACACATGTATATACTTACATGTGTGGCGTTGTAGCTGGTACGAGTTGGCTTACCATACACCTGTGCAAATGGGTCAGTGAGTCCACCTGCACTGATCTGCACAACAACACACATCCTCAAGGGTCTGGAAGGAGGTAGGGAAAGGACTTTCACCATATGAGGCTGACACACACACACACACACACACACACACACAAAGCACATTTGCTGCATAAAAACAGTAGATACACACCAGTTCACTGAAGGGTCACTAAACACGCATGCACAAACTCAGGACTCTGCATCTCTCTTTCTGTGTCTCTCCCTCTGTCAATCACACAGACAAAAAACACACAGAGCGAAATGAAAACATACACATAAACACACAAACACAAATGCCATCCTCTTTCCTCCTTCTGCCTCGAGTGGCTGTTGCATTTTTTTTTTTTTTTTGTCTTTGTTGAAATAATTGCAGTGATTTTCAAGACCGTTGTCATGGCAACGCAGCGGTTGATGCATGTTGACAGAATCTGTTGCAGGGGCGACCGAGGAGAGACTGAAAATGGGAGATAAGAGGTGGGAAGAGAAGTGATGCATGTGTGTGTGCGCGCACTTGTGAGCATTTTTATCATGCGTGTATGTTTGCAAAAGTGATGTTAGTGGGGTTGGGGGAGGTTGAAGTTGGTGGTGGTAGTGGTGGTGGTGATGATGGAGGGGGGAAAGGGGGTCTGCTTTGATGTGTTTCAATCCATAAGATGAATGAAGATGAGCAGCAGTGTGGGACATCTCAGCCTGGCGGTACAAGGAGGCCTGAGATCAGGAATGAACAGTTATGAGTGTATCATGAAGCAGATGAGAAAGAGAGAGAGAGAAAGAAAGAGAGAGAGAGAGAAAGAGAGAGAGAGAGAGAAGGGGAAAGCGGGGTGCTATTTTAGTCCAGGCGTTGTCATGGAAACTGCAGCCTCACTACAAATGGAGACATCCAGAACACATGGATCGTCAAACAAATGGCGTGCGTAGGGCCCCAGCGTGAAGCTCTATACGGCACGGCTGTGTGACACAGTGCCATCTTGGTCGAAACCCACGCACACTGTCACCCCCACCCACACACACACATACACACACCAACACTCTTCTTCATCACACACTTCATTTGAATGGGAGGAGGGGTAGCTTTTAGGGAAGAGTCAGGGGCTAAGTGACAGCCAATGGTGTCCATTCAAGCAGTCACTCGCTCTCTGTCATTTAATTAACAGTCTTTTCCACACATCCCCTTCGTCCTCCTCCTTCTCCTCTTCCTCCTCTGCCTCCTCTCCTTGTCTCTTCATCTGTCTACCTCCTTCACTCTCTGTCTGCTTCCTATCCTCTCCTCCTCTGCCTCTCTCTCCCTCTCTCCCTTCTCTTTCTCTCTCTCTCTCTCTCTCTTTCTCTCTCTCTTACCCTCTCCCTCTCTCCAGCGCTGTGAAGGACGGAGGTATTCCCACATTTCTCCGTTGCCATAGCAACACCGCAGCGAGCACAGGAAAGAGAGGACGCAGGCAGAGAAGAGAAGAGCAGGGGAGAGAAGAAGAAGGAGGAGGAGAAGGATGGAGAAGGAGGATGGAGCTGGGGAGGTGACGGGGAGGGAGTAGGATGAGTGGATGTGGGAACAATGCTAATGCTAACGTAGCATGAGCAGCAGCAGCAGCAGCACCATAGCAGAGAAGGATAGAGCAACCAAGTGTTGGTGAATTCCCCTCTCATCGCATCACACTGGCTGCAGATTCACATTGCACATATACATTAGCATAATTGCGAGGAATCTATTTGCTCTGTTTGTTGCCATGGTCACTGATATTTCCTCTAGAATGATACATGCTAATAGTTAGCCATGTAACTCAATTTTGACCCATTACAGCAAAAAAAATTCTGCTGTTTTTGAGAGCTAAACTTGAGGCTTCTGCCTTTTTATCTCACTGTTGTGGTCACTTTAAGACCTTTAAAATTATGCCTCTAGCTAGACATTTAACTCTCATCTTCTATCAAAAACTTAAAGTCAGGATCAAATTGACCAGCTTTTTTGCTTCATTTAGGGCTCAAAACCAGACTTCCTCATGATTTATTTCACTTAAGTGGGCAATTGGGGGGTGAACTGCTGCCTGCTTATTTCCCAATGATTAAATCAATGCCATTCAATGCAGGTCAAATGACCTGCTGTAGATAAGAGGATGTAGAAGAAGATGTGGAGTAGGCCTTCACGTAGATGCAGGAGCTCTTTCATATCGATGTCATCATCCCCTTTAATCAGGAGAGAAAGTGATCTCATTATCTCTCTATATGTAGCACTAAAGGCGTCAGAACAAAGCAGCGTTGCATCAATTTCCCGACATGTAAAGATTTGAAGCTAACAGCGAAAGCTCATATGGCCTGCTAAGGGAACAAGCTCCCTCATCCTTCTCAATTTTCATATGCATGTTTTGACATATTGTTCTTAATACCAGCCTGGACTGAAATTAATATCTCTTAATACATACATTCATGTTATTGACAGAGAGTTGACTGCTGCTTGCATGTCAATTGTCTCGCTGCTCTCCTCCCAATCAATAACTCATCTCTACACGTCAATATTGTTGCTCCCTCCCATGGGACAGAAATGTCCTTCTTTAGAACAAAAGGGGAATAAACAAAGATGAGAGGAAGCAGATGGGAAAATTAGTTTAGGAGGAAACATTTCTTTAGCCTTTCCTATCATGTGTTATCTTTGCAGGGATCTTTATGGTTCACTTCATGGTCCTTATTCATTGAAATACCTCATATGTTACTCTCTTCTTGACCCTAGAAAAGCCAGAACTATGATAACCGACTGACTGAAAACCAGCTAAGTTTAAGGGGAGGGGTGTGAAGTGCTGGCCCATTTTTGAAAATGCTAATTGGCTGGATCCCTTTGTCTTGTTAAGTATCAAAAATGTATTTTATTTACTTGTTAGTGAGTTAGTATCTCTCTTTATGCACTTGTCATGAGCAGTATAGTTTGGTAGTTTGTGGCTTTATGAACAGAGACATATTAGCTGCTTTACTGATCTCTGAAGTATTTTAGCTAAGCTACACTAATTGAATTCTGTGACTTCATATTTGCTATACTGACAAAGGTAATACAGATTTTCCAGTTTTATGAAAACCGTAAAACAATGTCAAATTTTCTAATATGGCATTCAGATACTCAATTTACTTAATCACAAAATCTGCACAAAAAAAAAAATCAAAAATTTTGTTCATTCCTTGCAGGTTTTCAGTGTTGTGACAATAATCTGAAAAGGCTGACGTATTCCTTCAAAAATCAGCTCCACTGTTTACTTTAAGAAGCATCAGCAAGGTAAGTAAAAGCTACTACATAATTTAAAGTGCCATAAAAAGCAAAACCATAACCACAACATTAACTGGACTGAGTAAAAACATTACCTCTATCTGCTGTTATGGTAAATCAATACTCAAGTAAGTGTTATAATCTAATAACAACATCAGCAGGGGTTGATTTTTGTGTGCGCTTCTGTTGTGTGTGGGAGTAAAGACACTGGGGAACAATTTGCTCTATACTTTCTCCAATACTTACACAGGAAGAGTCTGTTCATGATGTTCGCTGGGAACAAAATATTCATATGGATTCATATCACATCTTCCACAGAGGCACAACTTAACCGAAATTTCAAGAGGGGCATTTCTAAACACACTCCTTTCTTTTTTGTGATTATTGTGATTTTTTAATATGAAAAGATATTATTCATCCCAAATACACCAGGTGAGACTTACCCTCCCAAATGTGCTGCAATTTAGCATTTTTATTAAGAAATCTTATTTAGAGTTAACTAAATAACAGCAAATGTGTTGTCTTTTATGATATATTCATAAAATTAATACATGTGTGAATAAAATTGACTATCAATGTCACACAGTAAAAAAATTTTTAACCCCAAATTAGGTCGAGTTGAAAGTTTTGAATTGTTACAAAGAAAAAAATCATTGCTTTTGAGATGTTCATAAATTCACTCGAAGAAATACAGGTGTAAGCTTTTAAAAACAAATAGTCACCACTTTAAATGAAAAAAATACTGCTTTTTTTGATCATTCAATATGAAAATAAAATAGAGAATATTTTTTGTTGTGTTATTTTCACATCCGTACAAAAGAAAGACGTTCAACCGTCACACTCGTGCAGACAGCACTTTCTTTCTCTTTTTGCACTTTAAAATTCAAAAGTTGGAAAATGTCATTTGTTCGTGAAATAAATTGATAATTAAATTACTTGATTAAAAACTCCATTCACACGCACACCAGCAATTACCGAAATTTGCTGCACATAGCTCCATAAATTGTAAAACTATGAGGGCAAGTTTCTTTTATGTTATTAACAGGTAGATAAATGTATTTACATTAAAAAAAAATAAAACTTTAGGCTGTTACAGTCCTACAGGTGAAACTTTCATGAAAATTTCTTGCACTTTTTCATTTTTATAAAAGGCAAGTATTAAACGTTTCAGGAGAAAATAGGGGGCACAGTTATTACATTTAAATAGTTAAACATGAAAAAGTTTTCAGCTCTTCTAGAGGGATAAGCATCTGTACAAAATGTCAAACACCGCACTTTTACACACACACACACACACACAACACACACACACACACATACCTCTGCAGCTACGGTATATTCAGTGAGCTCTAATACAGCGTTTAGTTGAAAGAGAAACAAACAGCCGTATCTTTTTTTCTGGGTGATATGCCACATTGGTCAGGTTGAGTGTTTTATCCCCAGAAGAGGTGAAGAACCGTCTGGAGCTCCTGAGTGCTTCAAAGTACACCAGATACATGTCTACAAATGTAACTCTTCTATAGCATGTTAGTGTGCCCTCAGTCTCGCCCTCTCTATCGCTCTCTCTTTCTTTGGATTATTAATTTATAGCTTTGGGTGAGAAAGGAAACAGTACTCCCAAGTCAAAGCTTAACTACACTGGGAAAAGACAGAAAGGATCTAAATATAGACGGAAACAAAGCAAAGTGTGTTCAGTACAGTATGAGAAATAAGCCCTCTGAGAACAGGCTCTCATAATTCAGCAACATAGTTTCATGTAATAACAGTCAAAAACTGAACCTTTAAACAAAAGGCTTCTGTGTCTCTTTTATCCTTTAACACAGATTCAATCCAACTGGGTCATCATTTTCCTCGCTCTCTGCACAATACTGGATTCTCGGTCCGAGCTGGGCCTGCGAACAGCTCTGCATGAGCCGTTCTCAAACAAACAAAGCCTAAATAGGCCACAAGATCTATACTTAGTCTTTAGATTTTACCAGTCATGTTAATCACATGTTTTTTTATTACAACCTCTTTTAAGTGTGAAGATAAAAAAAAGGCATTTTCGTGGATCCTCCTCAATCAGCAGCGATGCAGCCCACAGACTCTGACACCTCTGCTTCACAGTGGAGTTTATGTTGTGTCAGGTTCCCCACAGACGCCGCAGTCTGTCTATCTATCTGTCTGTGGGCCGGGGATCTGGGGAATCCCTGGAGAAACACACAGCTGGGAGGTTATTGAATTTGAAGGGAAAAGACAGAGCAGGGAAAAAAAAGGGGGAAGATGGTGCAGACGGAGTAGGTTTCTAGAAAATGACTGCAGCAAAAGCAGAAAATGATGCACTGTACAGGGAGAGTGCTCTATTTTACAAACAGAACCTTTTCTTCCTTTACATCCACAGTAGTTTGGGGAATTTATTATGATAAGAATACCTCCTGTGGGTATAGCTGGCATTTAAATATCCCACCTTTTCTAATTCAGTATGACCCTACTCCATCACATTATATTCAGACCAAGACCTGAAAAAATGTGTTTGTATTAGAGCATTTCTCTTTCATCTTTAGTGCATATTAATGCATTCTTTTCTGCTGCACACACACTCTTTGCTCACATAACATCCCCCCACTACATGAAAGCATTACACTTTTTACGCATAGAAAGAAAAAGCAAATCCAAGCCGTGTGCTTGCTGCAAACACAAGCTGAGAATGCACGTAGCTTTTCTGCCTGAAATTACTCACATCAAGCATGTACAGAACATTTGGTTGTGTATTTCTTCTACTTTGGTGCAGTTTTAAAAATATAATACTATGCTCCCATAATCAACTGTATTGTCTTTACTATATGCATGCACAGGCCTTTTAAACCTCCTGCTTAGAGTCTCATGGGATGGCTGAGATCTCCAGAGACCAGGCACAAGCCAAACACAATTACATTCAAGAAAAAGACTTTTTGCATAGCTCCCCCAAAGACATTTCATATACAATCCGTCTGCTGTAAGGCCACAAACATTTTATCTAAACATATAATTCAAATCCGCTGTCATGGTCCATCGCTGATGCATTTGTTATTACATGAATCCCTCGAGGTTGTTGATGCGTAATGTCGGTTGGACTTCCACAGCACAGTGAATATCTGATATAGTCTGTATATTTTTACCTCGCCTCGGGGTATAAAGTAAGTTTAAATGCAGTGAAGCAGAGGAATCAAGCTCATTTTGCCCACCCTTTAAAAAAAGAGATATATAATGATGTATTGATGGAGCACCAGTGCTGCACATCCGCAGCCAGCATGAAAATTAGATCGTGCACATCATCTGGACTTGAGATTTTAAAGACGCCATATTCTCTGCATTGCATGGAAACAGTCAAAGCCTTTTCTAAAAGAAACTGATTTATTTGCCAGATTCGCACATTCACAGCATATGCTAAGAATAAAAAATGTCACTGCCAGTAAATGTCCAATTATGCTAATGTAACATGATGGACCATTTGATTTATGGAGGCGGTTGCCATGCTGTAGTGATTACAGGACCTAATAGTGTTGTGTTGAATTTGTTGGATTAATTTGACTTTACTTCAGCAGCCACCACTCTTAATCAATTACTCAACTAATTTGTTATTATGGTTTCAATCAGCAAGACTAATAGAGGAGTAAACTGTTTTTATTTCTTGAAAACTAAGCGCTCACCTTTAGGGATATGACGCAATCTTAGAGGTTTTTGGTATGACGTGGTAAAGCCAATCAATCATTTTTAGGAAACTGATAAGTTGAGTTATTTCAATCCCCCAAATTGTGCCTTAGGCTTAAAAAGAGTTTGCAAGCTGATAGCCCTTTTTAAAATTCTGTCTTGCTGTCAACATTTATGCAATGCTAAATTTTGTGCCCTTAAATCAAGCTAGCAGATATTACAAAAATGGTACGTAGCAGGAAAACAAAAGCCAATGTGTCGAGCAGTCGTGGATTTTAAATTGATCACCCTGTTTTGTAGTTTAATTTTGAAAAAGTGACAAAATTGTTTTAACATAGCTATGTCTCAGACTTCTGTCATTTTCTTTGATAAAAATGTCAGGCATTAAGTCTTTTGCTGGGAATCAAACAGACTTAATAGAGACGTCTCTTTATGAAACACAAATACAACTCAGACCGTCAGTTACAAGACTGCTGATTTCTATATTGTCATTTGAATATCTGAAACTGCAGGTATTGGACATAATGATGATTTGCATAATACCAAAACCGCTTATTAACGTTGTACATAGCAAAAATTCTTGATAAGTAACACATTTGGATCTGAAATGGGGGAAATTTTGGTGAAAAAAAAAAAAAAAAAACTACCTACACATATTTCTACACGACAAAATCATGAACAAAATAAGAGGCCCCACTCTGCCCACAGTAGATGCCAAATTTGATCCAAACCCAAAGTTTCTCACAGGAGCTTTACCTAAAGGTACTGTGAGGAATTTTTAACTGAGTGAGAAACAGGCTGAAACTGATGTAGAAGCCTTTCTGTGACCTTCCAAAGCGAAACAGACCATCGGCAACAAGCCTGTTCATTTCATTGAAGAAAATTTTAATCTTCATAACTACTGTGAAGGGGCATGTGCACACAATGAGTGATAAGTATTTCTGTTAAGAGACAGCAAATTTAGGTTTTGTGTAAAATACTACCTTCAATTTTACAGGACAAAAAGTGGAAACTATCACATTTGTCAACAAGAGGCATGAGTAACTTTATGTTGCTCCAGAGCAGTTTTAAGTTCTGGTTCAATTAGTAGCGATAACCAGAACAGATACTTAAAGTAGTCTGGGTTTTTTTGTAAAAGCAAATCAATTTCTTACAGTGGGTGGCAAATCAAAGCCACGTGTTAGAAAGTGAAAAAAATCAAGATAAACTTTTTGTGTGACAGTCGTTTGAGTGCAAGTACTGCACATTTTGATCTTGCTATAATTGAAGAAATTCACTGCTGCCACACTGTGTACCTTGATAAATACATGAAAAAAGTACATTTAATGAAAATACATAAAGATCCAAACTGATAATACCATATACCAAAATAAACAACAGTAAAAGAAAAGGGGACCAAGAAAAACTCTACATGACATTTTTTCAGTACTATCTTGTATTTAAATGATCTAAACTTTTCTAGAGCTTAATACTGATTCTGTCAAAAATCTGAAGCTGTCAAAAACAGACACTATCATGTTTTACAGTGTATTACCAAACAGAACAGCTTACCTTTAAAGGACCAAAAGGTTAGTCCATTTTCTAGTCTTGTCTTACATATGGTAATCCTTTTCACTTAAGCGTTTTGCTGCCAATAAACCCAGAAATGTCATCTGGACTGCAGACATCTATTGTTAACAACACACATAGGTTCAGATGATACTCATATTCATAGACTTAATCTGTAGCCAAACTGCATCAATTCCCCACGGTGTATTACAGAGGGGCACAGTCACCCAATATGCACATATTGATTTCCATCCCCGAGCTTGCAGTCTTCATTTAAATAGGTCATATGCTGAAGCCTCCTTTTAAACCCATCAAATTTTGTATCTACAACAGCACCCGCTACTCTAAGATGCAACACAACCCTTCTGCTTTACCTCCTAATGTTAATAATGACAATAACTTTGCACATTGAGAGTTACTGACGTCCAGAGGGATGAAAGCATCATTTCTGTTCCAATTAGATGAGTCACCATCACAATAAAACTGTTCAGGTAAGAAGATTTGTTCCACGGTGAACATGCAGGAATGCTTCCCCCCCATACGCAGCACACAAGGAGGTATCGAGTATGCTCTTTGAAATCTGACAGCAGAGCCACCAAATGTAGCACATCAAGGGAGAAGCCATATGTTGTGTCTTTAGCCTTCATTTATATTCTATTTGTGTCTCAGTGGGGCTACGCTTGAACCCTGCCCACTGAATCTGTCTATGGTGCTGCTGCACATTTACATTTACAACAGTTTTTGATTGAGACTCACAAACAAAGAGACTAACTTGGCTGAAATTTACACAGCCTGAGCTATATGATCACTATGAAAGCATGAATTGTAGGGGGGATCAGATTTATAGGTTAAAGCAGGGTAAACGTGGTGTTCACTGATGTAGAAAATGCTCCTTTCACGGATTAACCTTTGTGACAGCACAATCTGGGCCGGTCCTTGTCCTGTATCATCATTCATATTATCATCACCAGTATTTCTATCCTTGTGTCTCTTTCCTTACAGAGAGTGTTGCAGATAAAGAAAAAAAAAAGGATCACTGATATAAAACAGCTCCTGTGTATACTGAGAAACAATCCTAAACTCACATACAGTGGTGGAGTACAGTCATAGCTTAATGATATTGTTTTGTTGATGATGCTATCTCAGGTATATTCATTTGGACTAGATGGCTGCATTACCAGTTTGTGCTCAATTGCAACAAACATTTAGCACCACATGATAATACACTCTTACATCCATCCACAAGGTAATTCATTTAGAACCAATCTAGCAATGAAAAACAGTCACCATCAGAAAAGCATATTAGGCATAATTTCAGGGAAGTGTGCTTTCTGTGAAGAATAAAGCCATCTTATACTATTAAAAAACACCATTTCACAAAATTATGGGGCTCTGTAGATCATCTATAGGAGAGTGACTAAAGCCTGTGTGAACATGTTAATAGTGCAGATGGCACCTATTATTATCAAGATGACTAACGGCTTAACCACAAACCATACATTTAATCCAGGTTTAGAATAGAGGCCTGCATAATGTCTCACTCTTCACTTATGTGGTTGCCATATCGACCAGCCACAACCCAATATATGATTGATTTATTTCACACGTAATGATACATGGCTAGACAACTGTACACATTATATCAAACTAACAAAAATAAAGAAATACATAGTTGAAACGCAAGAAGCGTAAATGGCATTTAACATATGAAAGTTACACTGTAAAAATGTGGATCTTACAATTGTCATACAACCAGACATTATTATTATTAATATACTGTACATTTCCATTCACTCCAATCATCCTAAGACGGATGTTTAATCCCTTCTTGAATGCTGCTGCAGATAGATAGATGTCTATTCATCCTTATGACAGCATTTTATGGCATGATTATGGTAACCATGAGCAAGGAGGTCATATCAAATATCTGTCTAAAAGCAAATATCTGGCTACTGATCTGGTTCAAATAACACATTGTCAACACTTTATTTTACCCATACAGGTCTTTGCATTGGATCACCCTTCCAGTGTTTGTGGAACATTGTTTTTACCATTATTTGATGCTGGCATTTAAGTATCAGAATTGTCGATTCAAATACCAAGTAGCTGGCTTTTACAAAATACATAATACACTCTCAGAACACAAAAGTCTGTAATGATTATTACTGAAGCAACAGAAAAAAGTTTGTCAAACAGAGATCTGCATTTACTGCTCTACAACCTAAATGGACTTCATGTCACAAAGCCAATTCAAAGATTCACAATGAGTGTTGCAATTGAGCCCTTATGTTTCTGAGAAGTAGCCAAACTTAAAACATGTATTAGAATCCAACCTCCAGCAAACGCCGCCCCTGATTATTCACAAAGAAACAAACTATACCAGCTTATACATCCACCCCAAAATATCTCTGCATCGGAGTCTGCAATGATACATATTTAAATGAAAATATATTTATATAATTTGTGGATTTTTCACAGTAGTTTGTACTGCACTGTACCTTTTTGTCCATTTATTTATGCCTACATAATTGTCACCATGAGGGAGTCTGTTGAGTCACTCGACAGAGAGTGTGGCTTGTTTGTTTTGTGTGGAAGAAAAATGTCTCTTGGATTTTTGTTCTGAAATATCTCCGATCGTCAGTGTGGTGAGTGCCGTGCATGTCTTTCGTCTCAGCTCGCCAACAACAGTTTGGGGACTGATTACTCTGAAAGGCTAGTTTTCCCTATGAGAACACAGCTTGTAGAAACTGCAAAAAACATTTGCTTTGGCACAGATTTACATTGTAGCAATGTTCATTCCTTGATCTCCACGGCCATGATCATTACTACAAACACAAGTGGCCCATTGTGGTAATCCTTGGCTCAGTACACTGTCACGGATAAGTCTATGTGTTTGTGTATCGCCGTGTCAGTCTATCCTCTCTCCTGGTGTAACGTCAATGCACTAGTGTCTAATGATGCGGCGCGTAAACCCAACATCAATCCCCTCTCTGTCTCCAACTCTTGCTCTCCTCTCTCTCTCTATACTCTTACTTTTGATTTTTAGATCTGAGTCTCTTGGACATTTTCTTTTGAGTTCCCCTTGAAGAGAAGAGGCTCCATTTGGGGGTTCTGGCTCTGACCCATGAAACCCTTGATCGATCCATGTAACCCCATGGTAGGCATGGGCAGAGACATTGGCAGCGGAGGGGACATTGAACTGGGGTTGTTGGTGCCATTGCCCGATGTAGAGATCGGGAGCGTTGTACAGGAGATGGGGATATCCTGGCCTTGCATCATGCCTTTGTTACCGAGCATCCCTCCTGGTCCCATCCCTTCAGGACCAATGCTAAGACCCATCACATTGTTGTTGAAATGATGAGTCTTGTAGTAATGATTAAGAGTATCCGTGCGACCAATGTTGGGGAGGTTGACAATTTCTGGATGATGTATCCTCAGGGTTCCTTCTCCACCAGTACCAGAATTCATAGTTGAACCACCTGAAATGCCGCTCCCAGCCCCAGCTCCGATTTCATCTTCCACATTGACAATTTCGATGGCTCTGGCAGGGCCGTGGTGCTTGTGTAGCTGGTGCTGCTTCCGGAGTTTGTAGAAGACAACCAGCATTACAGCGGCCATAAAGGTTATCGCCACAAAGCAGCCAATGATGATCTTGGTTGTTTTCATGACATCATCCAGGCCTGGGATATTGGTTACCTCCATTATCGACACAGTCACTGCATTCTCATTACCTCTGTTGGCTCGTGGGGACAGTGAGGATAGAGAGGAGAGAGAAGGAGACGCAGTGATGCCAGGTCGGCCATCTAACACCCCTCTCTGAACAGTAGGATTAGGGAAATCTATGAAGGTCTCGTTAATATACTGTCTCGCTGAGTTCTCCTCCTCTCCTCTTACTGTCTCGACTGTTTCCACAGTGACAGTGGTGAAATAGCTGTAACTGTTGCTGGGGTCTGAAGCGGACACATTGAGCACGGCAGTCGCGGTGGTATTTCCAGCAGAGTTGGTAACCATGCAAGTGTACTGCCCGGTGTCTTGCACGGTAACGTTGGTGAAGTTGAGTGTGCCATCATGAAGAACTGAGATCCTTACTCTGTATGATCCATGGGTCATCAACGTGCCATTTGGAGTGAACCAATTCACTGAGGTCATTGAGGTCCCGGTGCGACATTTCAGCTCAGCAGCCATACCCTCTGTGACATTCAGGTCAGTGGGTGGCTCAACAATCACTGGGGCATAGCAGGTGAAGTGACTCTGATCTAGTTCCCCAATGTACTTTCCTTTAAGGCCTGGGGGCGCATGGCAACGAGCACAACATGTGGTGTTACTGGGAACCGTTTCTTTCAGCCACCAGCTGAGCCACAGCACATCGCAGTTGCATACCCAGGGGTTGTGGTTGAGATGCACCCTCTCCAACTGGTGCAAAGGCGTGAAGAGATCATGGGGCAGGGAATGCAGGGAATTGTGAGAGAGGTTGAGCTCCTCCAAGTTTTTGAGGTCATCAAAAGCATTGCGTTCAATGACTGACACTCTGGAGTGCATTAGCCACAGCTTGCGAAGTGACACAAGGCCCTGGAAGGATCCTGGCCTGACTATCCCCAGCTGGTTTCCTGACAGCTCCAACTCCTCAAGTCGTACCAGAGGGGTAAGGTTAGGGATGTCCTTCAAGCCACACATGCCAAGATTCAAGAAACGTAAGTTGACCAGGCCCTCGAAGGCGGCCTCCGAGATGAAATCTAGCTTCCTGAGTTCCCCTAGATCGAGACGGCGTAAAGAGGGAACCCGATGAAAGGCAAACGCCGGCAGTGTCTCGATGGGGTTGTTCCGTAGCCATAGTTCTCTTAGCTTGCTGAGGTACTCAAAGGCTTGTGAGGGCACCACTGTGAGACGGTTGTCAAAAAGCTCCAGTGTGTTGAGGTTGGGAAGGCCATTGAAAGCTCCCACCTCGATTTGTCGAATGTGGTTCTTGGAGAGCTGGAGGATTTCCAAATGCCGCAGGTGTTTAAAAGTGTCTGATTTGATCACCTTGTGGGGAGACAAAAAGAGGCATGTTGAAGCATCATCAAATGTCAAGTTATTCCCATAAAATGTAGGAGCATGATGAAATCCTATTTACCTGAATTGTGTTCTCTTGAAGATTGAGGTATCTTGTGTTCTCTGAAATACTGTCAGGGACTTGATCTAAGCTCTTCCTCGTACAGATGACACGGCTCGCCTGATTGGAGCAGGTACAAAGGGTGGGGCAAGGGGGTGCTGCCTCCGTCAGCTGAGGTCCATGGTTGTGAAGCCACAACAAGAGCTGGACCAACCAGAGGAGGGGGGAAGGGGCACAGGGGTTGGTCACCATGACAACACGCATGGCAACTGAGTCATGACCCACCCCTTTTGCTCTGATGTTGATAAGTCACCTCCAAAGAAGGCAATTTATGTGCTTATCTTAATCTTCATGTTGTACGCTCCAATTCTGTTTTATTATTCTCCTTTGAACAATTTAAAAAGATTCAGAGAAAAATGAATTTTTTTTTTTTTTTAGGCTTAAATTATCTTTAAAAGGTTCTTATTTTACTTCACTCATGCTTCCTTCATTTCCAAACACCTTGTTCTTTTCAAAATGTCATTCAAGAGAACCCTTTATTTTTTGTTCCCATGACAATTATAAGACCAAAAATCAAATTTTAGGGTGGGGGTTGCTCTTGAAAGTGTTGTTTCTGCAGAGGCTGTTGGTTCTCACTGTAGGGAAAAAGAGAGAAAAGAACAGAGAAAAGGAGGTCACGTAAGTGCACTGTGGGGTAGCTTAAAGATATTAGCCTAGCATATGCATGCATGTATTCCCAGGACTGAATTTAAATCTCAAAACATTACAATGTTCTGTCGCCAGCGTGACATGCTTTCAGGCTTTCTTTTCTAAAGAGGTGGCTCTAAAATTGTGGCCTCTAGTCTCACTGGTGAGTCAGCTGCCATTTTCTTCATAGGTTGAACTTAACATCTGGGTCATGGTCTGAAATGGCCACAAAATGCTAAAACCTCAAGCCTGGTCACAAGAGTTGCAGCAGACCGATGAAGATCACAGTCTCAGAAGCCCCTTTGTGATATTACTAGGCAAGTTAGATACGTATTGGTGGAATTTAGAAAGAACGAAATGCTGTTGAATACAATTACAAATGCTGAAAGGACTTATTTAGACCTAAGGTCAATGCAGAGTTTCACGCAATCCATCATGAGGCAGCAGCAGTAATTTAGCAATTAAGATATTAAGAAAAGATTATCGACTCCTGAAATTTTACTGCAGTGCTCATGCTGTTTACTATACGCAATCAGACACGATCCTCGACCACAAGGGAAGGTGAATCACGCTTGAAAATGACACCAAGATAATGAGAGACAAAATGACATGGATTACAATGACTTTTGCTAAACATTTATCTGTTTGTAGGTGTGTCTTTGATTGAGAGAGCATCACATTCTTGAAACAGAAAAGACTTTAAAAATCAGAGAAATTACTAAATTTATAAAGTCAGGGCTGCTTCCCTCATAAAAAAGAGACCAAAAAGAAAGTATTCGTTGTTCTCAAGCATGGCTCCATGCTATGATTCAAGTCACAAGCTTAAAGAGAGAGACAAAATTAATAAGGACATCTTTGTTTATATTGGTTCTTACATGACCACTGTGAAATTATATCACTATCTTATACAATCGGTCTCTTGGGTGCATTTTCTACACATATTTTACCCTCTAAAAATACGGTGTGTTTTGTAAAAAGGCTCCATAGCAGTGCAGAGCATCTCCTCTCCTATGCAGCGACGATGCATGCGCTCCTAGAAACACGGTTGCTGTGGCAACCTGCTCACTCACCATCTTGTGTTTTTACTGTCCAGTGCCCTATTCCACATTACTGTGTTTAGCCGGGCCTGATGAACATTTGCTGGTCAAAACTGATAACCAGCATCGCTGAAGTTAAAACAAACATATATTTGACTTAAAGCTCAAGCTCTATTCCATCCTTTACATCATTTTAATGGTTCACACCAAAAAAAAAAAATAACAGCAGCGTTATGGGAATCTTGTTTGTTATATACAGTATATTCAAAGAACATCTTGTTTAACACACAGTCAAATCTTGGCCTTCACAATGACAACAAAAGGAACAAATTTGCCTCTAATCTTGATATCCACAGGGTTTGGGATTATATCAACGTCAGTCTGTATAACGAACATAGCTGTGAGAACTCTTCCAGCAGCTATTAAGAAAGATCATAAAGGAGTGAAAGCTAAAAATAGCCTTTTAGATGATCTGCTCATCCCACAGAATCTCTCTCTTCCTCTCTAGACAACATTAATACACACTCATAACAGGAAAGTATTCGCAAATCTTCATCCGACAATGTCCCAACTATGACTGCCACAGTGATATAGCAACACATCAGCCAGTGAGATAATGCAGTTTGAAGCAAGGCCGAGATGCTACTGTATGCAGCCTCTTTGCAGCACTCCTAATCATTGTGTTCTCCACACTGCTGTCCTTCCCTGAAGACTCTCCTCCTCATCCCCCCATCCAGCAGGTAATTATACATTTCAATAATGGGCTGTAAAAAAAAAAGAAAGAAAAACGCTCCAGTGTCTCTCTACCAGACATCAGAATAGTATCTGATCTGCAGCGATGGTTTGATAGTTACGATGAAATGATTCAGTGAAGCATCAAAACACAACATCATTATTATTCAGCTGGTCAAAGAATTGATCATAGCAGTGCACTCAAAACTGTAATTTATGCAGCGTCTCATACACTGGAACTTCATTAAAAACACACAGGGGGGTAATGTTTTTTCGCTTGTCTTCTTTGTTCTCTTTTTACAGACCCTACCACACAAACTCAGAGCAAATGCACAAGTTTGTTTAGCACTGATATAAATCAAAGACAATATTTGCAGAGCAGGTACATTGAAAAATTGTGCTACATATTGCAAAATAGGTCTGTAATTTTGACAAATACATGTTGTTATTCGTCACTGCAAAGATAACAGCAAAAAATGCAACTCCCATTCACCGGTGGTAAGTTATTCTGAGGTAATTTTTCCTCAAATTAACTCAGTAGATGTACACTGAAGGGACTCAGCTGCATTTTCTCTGCATTAAACGGTAAATGTCACCAGTGGGAGACCGGAGAAAACAATCTATGTAAAACACCACACTAACTCAAATCGTATTAAAGGAGAGACCTTGAGCCTTCCAGCTGGCCGCCTGTTGCCTTGACCTCCCATCTTCAAGTTTTTCCCCACATGAGAGCACAAGAAGAATATCATACACCGACAATGCTCTTTTATTTTTTTGCAATATTGCACATTTACCCAGATGGAGCCAAATCTGTCTCCAGTGGCTTTCATATTTATCAGTTTTTTCTATATATCATGCTTCAAACATTGTCTTTATTGGGTTTTTTTTTTTTCAATACAATTTCACTCAGGTATTTCTTTTTCTTGATCTTTGCTGTTTTTTCCATGTCAAGAGCAGATTGCAACCATGTAGATATTGATTATTCGATCAGGCCTGAGAAAGCGCTCAGTCGCGAAAAGACAAATTAGCTGCAAGCTGCTGACCAATTGCTACAAACCAATCACATCATCGTCAGCGCCTGATTGTATCAATGCTTTCTCTCCAAAACACAGTCATTAAGGTTTATAAGGTGTTTTTTTAAAAATACAGTGGTGGGCTTTGTTTTTCGAGCTTGGTGTGGATGTGGGATGCTTCCTGTATCAGGCCCAATTAGACCTCATGTATTTACAGATGAACACAAAGCGACACAGGTGCAGCAGGGCCAACATCATCTGCTGTAACTATGACAACACTAGACTGGTTTAGGACGTGGGAATCAGGGGATGGATGGGACGCATTTCAGCGGTTTTGTAACAACCTGTGCTTTGAGATTTTTTGGTTTAAGCAGCTTCATGCCAAGTTTCCCATTTTTCACTCCTGGCAAAAATAGTCTCTTTCTTTTTTCTTTCATCACCGCATGAAAAATGAAGAAACAAAACAATGATCAGCTATTTTCTCCAGCAGCCTTAGCTTCTAATCTGCAATCTGTCCCCATCATATAGCCTCCAGCATAATATCTCCTACAATTCAACAGAATGGCCTTATTCATCTATGCAGCTGCGCTCACTACGGCGCACCTTCTCGGGAACGCAATTGAAATTCTGAATAGGCCTAATTCTGCACATGCTGCATTACAAAATGGCTTGCATCCATTCTCTCCCTCTCTTCGGGGTAATGACAACAAGACTGCACCCAAAAACTGAGACATATAGACTTGGTATTTTCAAGAAAAGAGTGAATGTGGACATTTGCAACACACACTCTTACATAAGGCGGCATGTTATTAAAATGTATCCACAAGGACTACCACAGCCGTCTTCGTCAGACATCGACGCTGACGGTATCTATTGCTGATATTAATTATTTACATGCATCCATACAACCTTTGCACGTTTTGGTGATTCAATCTGTACAATCTTATGACTGATTCGAGCATCCATACAGATTAGGTAACAAATGCAATAATTACGCCGGCCATTTCAGTACCTGTACATCCAACACACACGTACCTTTATGTTTCAGCGGCTGCAGCGTGAGGTCGGTGTGTTTTTTCCCCCCTTTCTCCTCGTCCTTCCCTCCTCGATCGTCAGTTTTCCAGCCTCCGTCCTTTCCCCCCCTTACATTGATCCGCTTGTTTCCACGGCTCTGAACTGGCTCTTGTTCTTCTTCTTCTTCTCCTTCTTGTAAGCTATTCCGCAGCGCCAACGCAACACGGGGGGCTACAGCGATGGCAGGTTGAAGACGAACACAATCCACACACACACGTAAACGCACACGAAGAGGGGGAGGATGGAATAAAATAAAAAAAGGGGATCAGATTAAGGGGTCGTTGTAGAAAATGATGTTAGTATTATCACATTTAGAAGAGAGGTCTGGGACGAGAGCATCCATGCGCCTTATCATCATCCTTGGAGAGGAACGCAGGCAGCAGAACGCGACGGCGCCCGGTGGGCAGAGCATTTTGCGTCCAGCATAGGCGGCTCTTTACGCACATTCCGTATGTTTGAGTCTGAATCCCACTAAGACAGGAGAAGAAGATATAAGAGAGCAACTAATTATGGATGTACCTGCGTATTTTTGTAGATCAGAAAACCAATCTTGAACATTAAGGTTTATTATTGGTGTTTTTCTTTTTTTTTTTCTGAAAGCTTTTATTTCTATTTCATGCAGCATATGCTCTATGCATGTAATGAGTATGAAGTCATTCTATTAATATGACTCAGCAGCATGGCTTGAGTCACCACATTCCTTTTAATTCAGTGCATTTTCAGTCGGTTTTGGTCATTTTATCACCATGCAATAAACACCTGCTTCTGTTGAACCAACAAGGCAAAACATCTGCAGTAAGAACTATCTCTGCTCCACTGAGTCTCAAACAAGTTTGCAGGCCTACTAATGTCCATATTCATAATGAATGTACAGCGCCAGCACGTGCATTTTAGTAATGACCAGCTAAGATTCAATCTAGCAGTCTAATGAGGACTGTTTTCTGCAGGCTTTGCATGAGCATTTTTTACCCTGAAGCACTTTTTGGAGGTAGATTTGAGGCCACACAGGGAGCTAAGCCTGGAATTATTTGCCAGAATGCTTTAAGAGCAAATATTCTGCAACCTTGTGAGGTGTGCATATTTTTAAAAAGATATTTGGTTAAAAAAAACTGTGCATTCAAGGTGCTTGCATGCATGTTTGAGAATGAAGTAGGCCTCTTGTAGACAGCTGTACCTTTTCATTAGTAAATTGAAAAGAAAGTCAGCACGTTATAGCCAATAAAGCAGGCTTAAGTCAGTAAAGAGATGCCAGTCTTCCTCTCTAAGTGGCCTCCCCGTATCGATCTCTGTCATGCGTGTGTCCACATGTGTCGAGTGCTTCACTTTCTGTACCATCATTATCTCCTTCACAAGGTCCAGCTCCAAAATGTGGGCAGAAGGAGACATGGAAGGAGAAGTAGTAGAAAAAAGCGCCCTTTGCAGCTTCGCATCCATCGCCAAAGACTAGTAGTAGGTAAAAATAAATCACAGTACATCTTTTGCTGTGTCTCAGCTCACACTAAAGGTCAAAGGACAGAGAAGGCCAGTTATGCTTCAGAAAGACCCCAGAGGTATATACTCTCTCTCTTCCTCTTCCTCCTCCTCCTCCTCCTCCTCCTCTCCATCTCTCTGCCCCCTCCCCTCCCTGTGAATGCCGTAGTGAGCATTGTTCACGACCACTAGCTTTTGCTGAAAGCTGCACAGCAATGAGGTCTCTGTGCCTTTTTGCCTCTCTCTTCCTCTCCCCCTCCCCCCTCCCATCTACCTCTCTCTTTCTCCCTCTCTCTCTCCCTCTCCCTCTATTAAATTTCCAGTCACACAGTGGTGCAGAGGATATTCCTCCTTTCCCCTCGTTCTCCCCTCTTCCCCTCATTCCCTATCACTCATGCTGAAATCTTAGCCCACATCCAGTCTCTCTTGCCTCGACCCTGGCTGCCTTTTTTTTTAAGTGCATTACTCCTTTCTCTCTGCACCCCCCCCACCCCCCCCAGCCCCCGCGCCATTTCAAATGATTCCACGCCGCCCATGCCAAACCCACCACCGTCTTTGCCTCCGCTCTCCTTCCTTCCTCCCTTCCTTCCCCCCTCTTTTTTCCACTCTATGTCCTCACTGTGTCATTGCACATTGAATCTGATATCCCCCTTATGCATGTATGCTACGCCTGTGTGTGTGTGTGTGTGTGCTGGCACCCTTGAGCGTATGTGTGTGATTGTGTGTGTGTGGGAGTGATAGAGCGAAGGGGAGGGAGAGGGAGAGGGACATGCATTTGTGCACAGTAAATGAACAAACACTCATCGCTGTATTGCTTGTGTCATCAGTACAGGAAGGCTCTCAGAGTAGAAAATACAGCGCAGGGAGGACTGAGGACGTTTTCCAATACAAGCCCAAACCCCCATAAACTCTTTAATGCTGCGTTCAGGAGCCACAGGCAGAGAAGGAGAGGGAGGAGGTTTAGGGGGAGGGCGAGGAGGATTTGGCAGCAACATGCTAGTGCCAAGACATATGTGGCATGCTGATAGCACCAGAGAGGTGCAGCTCACACTGTGAAGAAGCTTTGGAGGGGTGCTGATACACATCCATCACTTGCATGGTTTCAGGGTTTTAGCTACAGGCCGTAAAAGTGGGTGGTGGGCTGATTTCACACAGTTCAAAGCAAAGATTATGAATGTAGAATTTTTTATTTTAGATAAGGCCATGAAGCGTTAGCGATCCCTTTTCAAGGCCTCCAGCGTCCAATCAGGAATGTGAACAAAGTGATGTTTTTTTCTACGGTTATTTTTAGAAAATGTAACAAAAAAGTTGGATTGGTCCTCATTGCCATCTGTGCAAAAAGAATAAGAGAGACACAAGCGAGAGTTTCAAGTTATTCGTGGTGACATCCCTGCGAGTGTGTGTGTGTGTGTGCGTTTGAGAAACAGAGAGGGAGAGAAAATAGAGAGAAAAATCCTAGTGTCACAGTATCTTAGCAACTGCCTCCATCTCCTTGGAGACAAGAGCTGACATCATTTCCTGTCTGTGAGAACTCACTTTTGGGTTGTACACAGTGTTGTTATATGTGTGTGTATATGTGCATTTGTGTGTGAGGGCATCTGTGTATGTGTGTGTGTTTGTGTTTGTGTGTTGGCGTGTGTCCACGTTCATATGCAGATGTGGGCCTGCAGTCTGTGCACCCATGCAGACAGGATGGATTTCAGTGTTTTTTCGGTCAGGGTGCATTCAAGAATGTCACTCTGTTTTAAGTCAAAACAAGCATTTTAATGCTAAGGAGAAAGATTATGCTTTAAAGAGGATTTTTGTTTGTTTGAAGTGTTTAGACGTTAGGTGTAGCTGTAGAATTGTTGTACTGAGGTCATTTTTTGTCATTTTGGACATAATTTGTTATTTTTAGAAGCATCTCAGACTTTAAGTTAAGCACAAATGCTTGAATTATGGAAATTTTTTCGCTAAAGTGGAATTGGTTTGACTCAATTCGCACTTTTGCAGCCTAAGTTATGAATTTGACACCATGAAGTTGTCAGTGATGGAGTATGAATAAGTCTAGCGTTCATGTTGGCCACCAAGAACAGCCTCAGTGAGTTGTTGCAGAAAATGTCAACTCCAACTGCCACCTTGTGTGTGACACATGAACTACATTCAGAAATATATTCACTTTTGGCTTTACCCACAACAAATCTTTATGAGTTGTATCTTAACTTCATAAAGATAAGCACTAAATTTGTTTATCAGCTGACTTAGTCTGTTAAAGAGCATGTTTAAGAAACTCAATGAAGACTATCCTTTATACATTACACCTGATAAAAGGCAAAGCGCAGTCATACCGCTGCAGTCCTTGGCAGCGTTCCAACACAATTGGAATTTCCATACTTTTCCATACCCTACTTTTTAAAATCATTTTTGGGAATACCTACTTTTTTATCTTATAAAACACTATTTCATAACCATGGTAATATATTCTGTTAACATTAATATTTTTCCATACTTTATTTTTCATTTACCATACTTTTTAAGACCTGGAAATTTATCAAATTACTTCCATACTTTTACTTGGGTAGCAACCCTGCCTTGGCCAATGGGAGTACAGTATGAAAGTATCCTGCATCTCATACAGAAACATTTTTAAACAGTATCAAGTTAAGGTCGGTTATTTGGAAAAAAAAAATCAAACAAGGAGAAACCAAGAGAACCAAACAAATGCATGCCTTGCAACAAAAAGTTAGACTTATTTGACCTTTTTGTCCATTTACCAAGTTACTTTGAAGAAACTGGCAACAGTAAAAATGCAAAGAGAAAAAGTCTCAAAGTTATGATAAAATGTTATCTCCATAAAGCCACAATTTGTTTATTTTCCTCTTCTTTTGCTGCAAACAAAGAGTTAACACAGTTCATTGTGATATTTCGGGACTCCCCAAGTTTCAAGCTGATGACCAAAGCCATAATCAAAACTTTTAATTTTGTGAAAACCTTGATTTTCTTTTTTCTGTGTAATTAAGTGTGACTGTTCCTTAAACTTCAGGAGACTTTTGGGTGTTGAATTGTCCTAAAACAGAACGTGAAATCTTGTTACATTCAGTCGCATAAAAATAGAGCTGCTCCAAATACCTTTCACTTGTTCATGAATTTTACTTGTTTGCTTGTTTAATTTTTGGCAGAGGCACCATGGGGACACTTAAAAACAGATAAATTGATGACAGTATCCTTAGTACAGAAACTCAAACCCACCTCACCAAAGACTAGGTTTAGAAGCATTTTGTTGTAGCTTTGTAATAAATTTAAAGCAGAGAAATAAAAGATAACAAACTACACCAAAAAGTCTACAGCTGACGAGGCAGAATCTCATAACATATGCTGTGAAATGCTTAGATTTCCTCTTGTTCTGGTAGATTTGTTTCCACAGGTGGTTTCAAAAAGTCTGCAACACAGAGCGTCAGACCATCATACAGATATTACACAGGTTAGCTTATGATTTACAGGAATCCACAGGAGACACAGTATCTAACACTGTCAGGTTCATGCTTCAGCAAGGTGTTCTTGTCCAAACATACATCTTCATCGAGTAAAGTGTTGCTGTGGATATATAAACAGGCATGGACTAAAACTCTTTGTCTCCAGTACAGAAAGCACCACAGATGGATTTGTCAACAGGGCTTGGTATGCAATATCCCCTTTAATAGCATCAATTAATCAAAGATAATTTTCTCCAAAAATGGATATTTGAATTAAAGACAGATCATGTTTAAGAAAAACAACCATTTCTCTCTTAGGTATCTCTGGGGTTGACCCAAGTCTCCTCTGTTTACATTGAAGAGGCAGGCTTCAGGACCTATGGGGGAGCTCTAACATTTTCCTCACTTTCGCTCTGTCATTACTTTCATTTTCGTATTAAGGCTGACATAGGCATCTAATCTTAAGTATCATGATCACTACACATGATAAAACGTACTTTAAACTCATATTTAAGAAATTTAATAATGACAATAATAAAAATACTTTTTTTCTGTTTATTACAACTTATAAAGGACACTGGCATTGGCACAATAGATGATAAAGCAACAAGACAAGTTCACAAAAAAAGTTAAATGTCTATATTTCAGTTTCTTTCTTTTTTTTTTCCTTGAGTTTAACATTACTTTAGAATTGGAAAGCTTAATGTGAAGTCATACAAATAAGTAACATGCATTTCCATATACTTGATAAACAGAGTAGTTTCATTTTTTTTTTCTGCCAAGAAGAAGCTAACAAACAGACAAAGTTGCATTATCTCATGTAATGCATTCATTAAGACCAAAGTTAACTTCAGTGGTTCAGGAGTTTCTTCATGTTTTACAGCTCAGTAGTAATCATCTCCATTTTCTCGTACTTCTTTTGGTCAACACTCCTAAATCCAAATTTTAATTTGTTGCTTTTTACACTTAATTTTTCCTCCCTTTATTCCTCTTTGACATCAGGTTTTTAAACCTGCGTCCCACTCCCGGTTTCACTCTCAGCTGCAAAATAAACACAAAAGAAGAAAAACTGTGAATTTCAAGCCAAAGTACAATGATGAAAATGTTGATGTTCTATATTTCGGAAGTTAAAAACAGAGATACAATGTTTGATACTGTTTTTAACATAGAACAAGATATTTAAATATGCAAATATAAATGATTTAATAAAACACAGTTTTCCATTAAGGTGATTAATGTTTCATATAGTGTCCTCTTTTGCTTCTTTCTTATTTTAAGGAAGAAGTTTTGATTGTTCACAAAGCAGACTGACATTAATACTGGTGAAAACACTAGGCAAATAAGACCATCAGTAACAATGCTGATTATTTTTAGTGATAACTAATGTCTGTAACTGAGGCCTGAAGGTCAGACAAAGCAATTTTCAAACACTAAAGAAGCAGCCTTTCTATACACTTTCCAAATAATTTGAATGCCATGACAAAGGATGATTTTTAATTTATTCTTACTATTATTCTTATATTATTTGCTTGTTGTGTAACCTCTTACCTCTTTACAGACTTTCTTCACCATCTTTTTATTGCGGGAGCATTTCAGAAGTCCCTGATCTTCATAAAAGAGACAGTCCACAAGGAGCCTGAGTTTAGGATGTTGGTACTCTCCATGATTTGGTACTGTGTACTCTTTATCATAAGTGTGATGCAAGGCTACCAGGATCACTTGCTCATATTCTCTTTCTGTGGCAAAAAAAGAAACAAGGATGTCCATGTAGATTTTTATTCATCCAGGTCATACTTATCTTGAAGACTCCAAAATCAGGGAACTGGACTGTGAAGAGTTGAGAATGCTGCAGAAATGTCAGTCTCATAAAGACTGTTTGTCAACTCTACACAGTCCAGTTGCCTGATTTTGGAGTCTTCGAGAAGAAACAAGGATGTAAAGCTTAAAGACAGCACATGACCTTGTACTTTTGCATGAGTACTTTTTCATGTTTTGGTGTGTTTACCTGAGACGCTGGATAACGCTGCAGAAATGTCAGTCTCATAACGACTGACGATGGGACAGAAGACGATGACCACAGCACCTTCATGTGATTCAACCACCTTTGCACCCTTTCTTTTCAGTTTTCTAAGAAAATCCGTGTGGGAGTCCAAAGTTTTTCCGGTTACAAACGGGAAAATTTTCACCCTTTTCATAAAAACAAGAGGGAAAATGTTACAACCACACTCATGTTTTTATGTAGGGGAGGCTTGTTGTCACATGGGTAAGTTGTCACGTTGCAATTATCTTTGCCACCAGAGGGCGCAACTAAAAAGTGGAATACTAGTTTGCTTCCTTTATATGATCAGGGGTCGTGTCCTGTCTGAGAAGAGAAGACCACATTGTGAGCTGAGATGAGCGCCAATTAACCATTTTGCGCAATCCAAAGTAAAGAAAATTAACCTTATATATTTTAAAATAAGCTTCTTCCAGATAAAAATTCTAGCAGTGATACACATGGACTTGTTAAAGGGGGGATTACAGCATTCTGTCATAATTCAGTCATTGTTCTGTTTTACGCTAACTTTAAGCTAGGGCGAGAATTAGCCAACATGGTAGTTTGGGGCAACATGTCTCAGTCATTTTGGGGTTAGTTGTCACATGTTTAAAAGGGATTCAAATTAACATAGAGAGTCTGCTTATCAGCAGTTGCCAAATTGATATTTTGACTATATTTTTACGGAGAAGACTGTGGTTTAAAGGAGAGATGAAAGCAAGAAGACATGATCAGGAATTACATAAGAAAAACAGAACATGGTAGTGCAGTACCTGACGTGATGCTGAGGGCAGTCAGACAGGTGACCCTATCTAATAAATCAATCTGGTAGACGATAAAGGACTTTCATGTCAACTAGCATACCTTAGTTTGGTACTGCAAAACATTCATCCCAGCCAGAATACAGTCAGACAGCTCTCCAAACTCCAGAGCACGTTGGTAAATATTTTGTTTACATCTGATGTTTTGATTCCCAGTAAGATATAAGAGCGTTAAATGTGTGACAACAAGACCCGGTCTCCCCTAACAGTGGCCTGCAGCAGAACAAACTTCCTTACCCCGACTGTTACACTTGCTACCTTACACCCCAACAGGTTATCTCATGAAGATCCGCTTAAAGGCTGTCAGTCACAGGGACATACCTCCTCTCTTCATGACACTGAATGTACTTTTCGAAGACAACATAATTTCTGAAGGTTTTCTTAGAGAGTTTGACAAAGGACTTTTTCCACCACTTGAAATCCCCCCACCGCCCCGGTTCACTTTCACTTAGGCTATTACACAGTCTCTGATCATTTGTGGTACGTTTTTAAGTCACATTAACCTTAATTCAGACGACTAGAAAAAAAAACAGTCAAGATAAACTTACATTTTTCACCGTTTTTTGGTTGAGTCTTTGCAAACCAGTCTCTTTCGGATTGACGAGAAGACAAATGTCGCAGGATGTCGACGACTTTCGCTTTCAAATTTGTCATATTTTGCTCCAACTAACTCCAGTCAGTGTAATGTCACATTTTTTCCGGCAGATGTCAGTATAGTGACATCCGTGTATAGGCCTATTTGTGGTTCTGCTATAGGAATACAAACCACTGTTACCAGGAATACATTGAAGCTCTGTATATTAGCAAATTAAGATGAATGAAACAAAGGTGGAGGATTTTCCGAAGAAGACCTTGTCCACCAACAATAAAAAGCACTGCACTGAGCTTTCGAGTCTTACTGAAATGTCGCAGAAAACCTTGTCTCAAGCTGTGACTGACTTTGGCTCTGTCATGACATCTATGACCACGGTATCCAATCTTCAGTATCATGATAACTTTCTTTACACAAAATACTAGAGTACCTGTAACTAATTTTTCTTATATAATCTTAATCTTATGTACTACTACTACTACTACTACTACATCAACTAAAACAATATATATATAAAATAAATAAATAAATAATAATAATAAAAATAATAATTAAACACGTTTTTTTTCTTTATACTACAAATTATAAAGGACACTGACATTAGTACAATAGATGATAAAGCAATAAGACAAGTTCACACATAAAATGTAGTGTGTTTATTTCAGATTTTTTTCCTGGAGTTTGCAAGCCTTCATACATCCTCATAAGTTTTGACATTACTTTAACACTGGAAAGCTAAATAAAGTACCTGTGAAGTCATATGAATAAGTACCATGCATTTCTATACATTTGAAAAACAGAGCAGCTTATTTTTTCTCCCAAGAAGAAGCTAACAACAAAAAAGTTGGATAATCTTGTAGTGTATTCATTATTCATTAGTGGTTCAGAAGTTTCTTCATGTTTTTCAGCTCAGTAGTAACTGTCTTCATTTTCTTTAACTTCTTTCAGTCAACACTCTAACATCCAGATTTAGTTGAGATTTTAGCAGATAAGCTGTTTGTTGCAATTGAATTTTCCCCTCTTAATAGTTTGCTTTCTCCTCCTATCGGCAACAGTTCCAGTTCCAGCTTTCCGATCTCAACTGCAAAAACACACAAACGAAAAAAAGTCTGTGAATTTCAAGCCAACATACATACAATGATGAAAATGTGGATGTTCTATATTCCTGAAGCTAGCCAACAGAAATAAAAAAAAAACTTTCTATATAGTTTTAACAAAGAAAAAGTTTTTAAATATGTAGGGTAATTTTTAAGCGGAAAACACAAGCTACTCATGGACACACAAGTTAATCCAAAGAAATACTTCTTCCACAGGGGGCGCCAAATTGGATACAAGGTGATTCATGGGCTGTCAAAAATTATGCCAGTTAGTTCACCCTTTCTAGAGGTCTCTGAGTAAACTCTAAAAGCATTAGCTAAATTTAGTTTCAAATTGTAATAATATACAAATAGCAGCATACTTCTTCACAACATTATAAAACTATTCTTACTATTATTTGCTTGTTGTGCAACTACTTACCTCTTTACAGACTTCCTCCACCGCCGTATCATTGCGGGGGCATTTCAGAAGTCCTTGATCTTCATGAAAGAGACAGTCCACAAGAAGCCTGAGAGCACGACTTTCAAACCCCCCATGATTTGGTACTATGTACTCTTTATCAAATGTGGGATGTAAGGCTACCAGGATCACTTGCTCGTGTCCTTGTGCTATGGTAAAAGAAGAAACACAGGTTTAAAGCTTCAAGACAGCCTCACACCTCTGCATGAGTACTTTTTTATGTTTTGTTGTGTTCACCTGAGGCGCTGGATAATGCTGCAGAAATGTCAGTCTCATAACGACTGACGATGGGACAGAAGACGATGACCACAGCACCTTCATGTGATTTAACCACCTTTGCACCTTTTTGTTTCAGTCTCTGAAGGAACTCCATGTGGGAGTCCAAAGTTTTTCCGGTTACAAACGGGAAAATTTTCACCATTTTCCTAAAAGCAAGAGGGAAAATGTTACAACCAGAACAAAGAGATCAGATCACATCACCCCAGTTCTTAAGACCTCACACTGGCTCCCAGTCAGGTACAGAATAGATTTTAATAATAGAATAGTTCTGCTACTGGTTTATGAATCTCTAAATGGTTTTGGTCCAGAATACATGAATGATATGTAAGTAGAGTATAAACCTAGTAGAGCTCTGAGATCTACTGACTCAGGTCAGATATTGGAGCACAGAGTTCGAACCAGACATGGTGAAGCAGCATTTAGCTGTTATGCTGCACACAACTGGAACAAACTACCAGCAAAACTAAAATCAACCCCAACTGTAAGCACTTTAAATCCAAGTTAAAAACATTTCTCTTTTCACGTACTTATGGCTGAGCTCTTTTTAATCATCTTAAACCTTATCTATTGCTCCTGATTTTAACTTTTTCTTTGTTGTTCTTTAATTTTTTTTAATCTATTTTTTCTTTATGTAAAGCACATTGAGTTGCCTTGGTATGAAGTGCGCTATATAAATAAATATGCCTTGCCTTGCCTACAACCATACTCGTGATTTTAAAGGTAGTTGGACAATAGTGGCCTACAGCAGAACAAACTTGCTCCACCCAGTCTGCTACACCTGCTACCTACACCTCAACAGCCAGGTGAACTCATTCAGAGCTACTTAAGAGACCGACCTTCTCTTTTAACCCTGACATGCTGTTAAACCTCCGTTGTTTTGTGGTAGGTTTTTTGAGCACATTAACCTTCCTTTACGCGACAAGTAAAAAAAAAAAAACATTCAAGATAAACTTACAGTTTTTACCGAGCTTTCGTTGAGTCTCCACGAATTAGTGTCTCTCGGATCTACAAGAGGGCAAATGTTGTAAAACGTCAAATACTTTCGGTTTCATATTTGTTGAGTTTTGCAATGAAGCTCCACTTGATGCAATGTCATAGTTTGACCGGCAGATGTCAGTGTAGTGACATCCGAGTATATTCGTGCTACTAGTGATAAAACCCCTGTTACCAGGCGTATATTGTAGCTCTATATATTAGCAAATTAAGATGAATGAAAGACATTTGGTAGCTTTTCCAAAGAGGATCTTGTCCAACAACCAAAAAGAATTCCACTGAGCTTTTGAGGGCGTGTAGTGGACTTATCAGTTTTGTGTATTAAATTAATGATTTGTAATGACAAGACACAGTCTACCTTAAAAGCTTGAGCTTATTAGCTTTTTGACATGATAATTAAGCTTTGGTATTTTGGCCTTTTTGGATTGTCTAAACCGTATTTTTTTACAACTATGAGCAAGGGCTTTATTGTTTTTACAGTAATAGGAAAACATAGATAGGGTAGACGTGTTTCAAATGCACTGATTTATACATATTTCTTTCTATGTCAGCATCAGAGTGAGCCCACTTAGCCTTCAAGTCAGTAATAATCCATGTATTTGACTCTCTGTATTCTAACACTGTATTAATTGACATTTTGACAGGCAAACATCACAGCAGCTGCATTTTCTCACTTAAAAAAACAGTTCTGTGCACGCTTGCTTTGACAGGAGGGTGTAAACTGTATCCGTGGGAGTGATTCTTCATCCGTCTGTAGTGTAACGCTGTCTGGATATCATCTGTATCTGCACTCAGAGACTGATCAGAGTCAGGATGAGCTGACGCGTACTTCAGCATCCCCCTGACAGATGAGCCGTGCTTATGATGGAGTGGTCAATGGGCAAACTAGGGCTTTACTCTGACAACTCTACGAGAGAAAAATTAAGGAGAAAACACTCAGTTTCCCATAAAACTTCCATCATGTCCTGTCAAATGAGGAGTCCCTAGAGTCTGTAGAATCTGGTAATCATCCTCTTGTGTAAAATCTAGTCAAATCAACACCATATTTTCAGTCAATATTGATAGCTTCTGCAAATTAATCCATCCTGGTAGTTTAAATTCCTCCTTCTTTATTCTGTCCTAAAAAAGATAAGTTTCCCTTCCCCTGTGATCTTTCTCTATGTATGAAAAGGCACTGAAAGAAAATTTCTCAAACTGTGCTCTGTCGCAGCACATCAGTCTAAACAGACTGCTTCTCTATACAAGATAAAATAAGACATATGTTGTTTAAATTCAACAGAAGGTAAACTGATTTCAGGCACCAGTATCCCTGATAACACCAGTCGCACACTCAGCAGAAGTGATTATAACATTTAATCACTGATACCCCATTGCCCGACTGTGCAGGCTCCTCGACCCAAGGTTTGATTTACCCGCCCTCTTCCTGAGGAAAAATCTCATTCAGTAGACGGATTGCTGAGCGGGCCTCTCCAACCAGCAACCTATAAATCATTCTTTAATCAGAGGCCTCTGAGATTGGGCGCAGACACCCGCGGGAGCACCACTCTGACACCTCCAACTCCTCCTTGTGTGTGTCTCTGCAGTCCGGGGAGTTTTTATCCTCCTCTTTTTTGTTTTTTGCCTCCTCAGGCTTGTCTGCATTTCTATCAGTCAAGAGAGAAGTAAGAGGGATGAGCCTCCTCAGGATGGCACCCTGGTCACGCACAGACCAGCCCGTCCTCTGCTTGCAGGACAGGGATGTCACAAGGGGAATGGGACTTCAGATCAGGTGGGCCTTTGTAACAGTTTAACCCATATAGTCTGTGATCTGAATTGATGTTATTCAAATGTTTGAGGATAGGCAACACTTGAATTTTATCTTATTTGATCCAATTAAGCGTGCTCAGCTTTGTCATCTTGTTTTTGAGCCAAAATCAAATAACACCTTTTATTGAAGCTGATACTGTGCCTCAATGCTGCATGTTTCTTATTGAAAGTTTACATCAAACTGCAAGACCCTGTCAAATAATCAGAGTGTACTGAAAGTAATACATTTTTTAAATTGTGAAATTAGGTTGAAACACAACTGCAAACGCTCTTATTAATGTGTTGAATTAGAGCAATTAAATGATTGAGGAGTGAAAGTCTTAAATTAGTCTGATCAATACCATGTGGATGAATGAACTAGGGGGTTGTCTAGAGTGCCAGAAATAATTAAAAATGTATTGTTTTATGTCACTAAAACACGAAAATATATATATATATTTACTGTTAAATTAGTCTCAAAATACATTGCAAGTGGTCAACTGATCACTGTTTTTCAATGGCCGATACTGATACTGATAATAAGTTGAGTTGGCTGGCCAACGGACGATATATACCGTTGATATCACACTGATTTTTTTTTTCTTTTTTTAAATTGGCATTTGACAAAACAACAATTTTATAACTCAAAAAACAAACAAAATGACCTTGAGTGAACATGGATGATGAAAAAAAATGCATTTTCAATGGGAAAAGACGATAAAGATATCAGCCTTGTGAGGGCCAATGCTGGTATGATGCTGATCAGTTCAAAATGCCAATAATCAGCCGGCAGATTCATCGTTCTATTTCTTTTAAAAAATAGGGACTCTGGACTTGTCATGTCTTGAATTTGACTTCAATTTCATAAGAAGTTAAACAAACGCACACCTAATAACAGCAGAGACTATTAAAGTCTGAGTTTCACTAATAACCGTAGTTATTATTTTCATGTGTCGCCCCGTATAGGGTAATAGCTGAGCTCTGAGTGATAATAGGGGCTCAACTGATTCAGAGTTTAATTATGAACTTGGAAACTGCACTTGAGAAATGTATTTCAGCACAGGCCTTTGCAGGAGCTGTTCTGAGCATTTATAAGCTTACTCTGTCATTGGATGGAGTTTGGCTAATTATAACTTAATGAAGCATGTTCAGTTTTAAGAAAAATAAGAACAGTTCACATTCAACAACCAATAATATCAAAGGGAGATTTTGTGATAAACTGGTGGGTGCATTCAGCTTCTTTAACATTGGATGCAGATAAACCATCAGCTGAAAAATTAATTACTCAAACCCCCTCCACCCCAACCTACCACCACCACCACCACCACCACCATGCTGCATGCTGGGATTGCTGCGGTTTGAATAATGAACGTTAATGGACACGTTTTGACCTGTAGGTTTGCTCTGCTGCTGGTGCATTTCACTCCTTTTTTATCATAGGTGTTGTTTAATCATTGCCTCCCACATCTGCACATGTTAACTCATTTAAATTCTGCACTGGAGCTCATTGTTTCTGCAAGAACATTCACACATTGCATCTAAGAAACAGCCCTTATATCAAGCTTGCACCGTGTGCTTGCTGTTCAGCAGCTCGTTTGTGGATCCAGGTGGAATGAAGCCAGATGATGAAAAAAAAAATAACAACAACAAAATAAAACAAAACAGGAAACTCAATACTTTTTTATGTGCAAACACACTGTGACGTCACCCAGCTGAAATCTTCCCCGTCCCTCAGCCGGCTTGGAGCTGTCAGAGCGCGCACTGCCTCCTCTCCTCTCTCGCGCGCGATGACCATGGAGGCGTCCAGGAGTTTAACAGGAGGATTCCGCTGCCAAACTGAACCTGACAGGACGGGATGTAGGCTGTGGATTTTGTATGCGTGCTCGATGGTGTCTTATTTCACTCATTTGGAGACGGGGGGACAGTTTTGCGACTTAAAGTGACCAAAAACAATCATAAAGGACGGAACGTGTCTCAATTGGAAAATCATGCACTGTTCATTTCCATGGAGAGATGGCATGCGTGCTCCTCTTCACTCGACTTTTTCCTTTCTCACACCGCCTCACAAGAACATCTTTATGCTTGTTATCGCTTTTTCTATCATATTTGTGCTACTGTGCGCTATTTCCAGCCGACACCATCATGCAAACGTCAGGTGATCCGACGGCCAGCTGCCAGCGCGTCCTGGATCATGGAGCCAAAAGACGCATCCAGAAGTCCTTGTTCTGCGTTTTGCAGCAGAGCAGCGCAGATGCATTCCGGATGAAAAGCGACCAAAGACCCTCCACGAACCTCCATAACGACACGCCCAGCCCTCCCATGAGTAATCTCAAGTTTGGGAATAAGAAGTTACCCAACGCAATCATAGTTGGTGTGAAAAAAGGAGGCACGAGAGCGGTTTTGGAGTTTATAAGGATTCACCCGGACGTGCGCGCGGCTGGCACGGAGACGCACTTCTTTGATAGGAACTATGACAGGGGCCTGGAGTGGTACAGGTGAGAGCAGCACCTGCACAGGTGCGTGCCTGGCTGTCTCTGTGGTCACGTGATCTGATGGTAATCTGCAAATAACTGGTTGGAACAGGTTTTATGAAACGAAATCACAGGATTAATCAGCTGGTTTAATGTTGGCCCTCTCTAAAAGTTTTTACACTATGATCTGCAAAATCTGAATCACTGAAATGACAGCTTTTCTAGTTGTGTAAGAAGATGACTAATGAGCACATTTAATAAATTAAAGTGTAACCCTCTCATTTGGCAGGGAGTCTCACAGACTCATGAGAGTCTCTGGACATTTAAGGATGTTTATATCATCCTTAAATCTACAGCTGTCTGTATCTGGTGATTCCTGCTCCTCCAGAGTGGTGGGGTAAAATGGTGCAAAATTTAATGCAGCATGACAATGTTTTCAGATATTGAAAAGATGGTGAAGATGTAATGTCAAAACACATCTGTAATTTGATTTTAAATATCAGTGTTGTATTTATTGTTATAATAGATTTTATCAACTATACTGGATATTGTGTATATAGGATGTCATAGGATTGTAAGGTCTTTTTCAGTCATTGTTTGGCTTTTTCTCTACATATTGAATGTAAAATAACCCATCTTGATAAAATGTAAAATAACCCTTCCTTGTGGGTGTTCCCCAGGGTTCCCTTCACACTGCTTATATTGTACAGAAATCTATATCTATCTGTGTTGGAAAACAATATCTCAAAGCCAACACAAATGCTCAACAGCATCTCTATTCTCTACCACTTTTCACATTAAATCAGCCTCTTACCGACATTATTTCGATATCCTCCCCCAATGGTGCCTTTCTGTCTACACAACGTTTCGAGGTAAACACATTAAAAGTGTTTCTGCAGTCTCTTGACTCATTTCACTTTCTTAATGCAGGAAAAAAAATTTGGAGGCTTGAGCTGTTTTTACATGAGCAGTACAGTGGTCCTCTTTGTAGAGCATTCATCTGATTTCTCATAAAATCTAGTCTCTTGAGGAAATCTGTGTAAACTGCAGAGTGTAGGACACCATCCACTCGGACTGAGTCGTTTACTTGTTTGTATGAAGTGATAATCTTTAAAAATCTGTTAAACATAACTGATTCATTGATGCACGAGCTTTTATCCTAACTCCATAACAACAGATTTGAAACAAGATGATGTCCCTATTTAGACTTGTAACATTATGCACATATGCACAAAGACGGCCAGACACATACAGATCAACCTCCAAGTACATCTGATGTTAATGATCAGCTGTCACCCAGCCTGCAGGAGGGATGTGTATCAGCAGTATTATGAAATAATTAAAGACTCAAAGTATCTCCACTAATTGGCACTCGTCAGGACGGAAGGCGGCTGAAGCCCTTTTATCTCTGAGATGTGTCTGAGAAATGGGAGCCGGATGTGAACCCTCGCCTATTACCGCTGTTTGACTGTCACCTGTCAAAGTTGCAGAGAAAAGGTCATGTGCCGACTGACTTCTGAGGATCGTTTTCAAAACAGAGTGTAATTCAGTAAGTCTACAGTAAACACTCATCAATGAAGGCAAAGTTGAATGGTTAGAGCCTCATTATCAGGATGTATGGGAGTGCAACGTGCTGCTTGTAGTTAGTTGGTTCATTACAGTAATATCTGCACAAGAGAGTAAAGAAAATACCAGGGATAAAGACCCTTAAGGTTCACTGAATACGCTGTCAATGGCCACAAGATTGATTGAAAACACTGTGTAAAGTTAGATGACATGATCCCACCTCCATCCACTGTACAAAAGTGAAGCCTGATTACCATGAAGGGCAGTGACATATACAGCCAAGGTCTGTGACATGAACTTATAAAATGTGATTAAATTACTCTTCACATGAGCGTGTGAAAAAAAAAAATCATTCAAAGGTTTTCTTTTCTTCGACATCTCAGGTCTTTTACTTACCTATCAAGCTGCACTTAATTGTTGAATTAATGGTCTGGAAACTCTTTGATCATCAGTTGATTGGGTCAGTCTTTTCTGGTAGACCTGGGTGATATGGCCAAAAATGTAGTCACAATTTAGAATGTATATATAAATGTATCAGTACATATTGATAGTTATCAGTCATTCTCAAAAGATTATTTTTCCCTATTTAAATGCAGATTTTTTATTTTATTTGAGGAAAGTGCATGGACAATTAGCTTGAACCTGGGGTCAAGTACCTGGATAGGCATCTCATTTTGTATAGTAAAAGTAGGAAGGAAGAAATAGTCTTTTACAGCTGTTTATTTACTGTCTGTAGGTTTTTTCTCTTTTTTTTTTTTCTAGCATTGCGCTAGAATTGCTGACATCAGAGTTTGCTGCTGGAGCATTTGCTCGCTGAGGATCTGCTAACACTTTGGGGCTGTTATTTCTTGCTTTTGGTGTTTTTTAACAGGTCATATTGTGTCAAACAATGGAAAAGGTTTGTGGTGTTGTCTCACTTATCTGGCATCAATTTGCTACTCTGCTGGACTGTAAATGGCTAAAATATCTCCAGACTACTGAAGTGGCCTTTTCAGTTAAGAATGTTTTCCCCCGGCTTTGAGCTGGTGGGCATGCTGTGTTCTTTAGAGTTGCTGTCGTTCAGTTTGGTCGTGTTTCCCACCTCTATCTCTGCAAGATGATTCACCGTTCATTGTCTTACTTGTCTCCTCTCTAAAACAAGGTGACAACTAGTGTTTAATGTGCCACAGCACCCCACTTCTCCAGTGTCCTAGTGGTTGGTATAAGTCCAAGTTTGAATTTATAAAACGTTTGTCTAAAATTGTTAGAAATTATATCATGACAATTATGTTTTTATCACCCAGCCCTAATTTCTCAACACACATCCAAGCATTTCCTTGTTTTGGGTTCTTGGTACATTTTTTGACTAAACGATAAATGGTATGTTTTCCCATTTTTATTCTGTTTGTAAAAGCAGACAAAACCAGACCATTATAACATTACTTTGTGAAGAGGGAAGCAACAACCAAGATAATGTTTTCAGATGAACTAGACAAAGAAATTAAAGATAAATGTTAGTCAGCCCGACTTACTGTCTGGTATTTAATAAGGAAGGGTGCCCTTGGCCAAAGTTTTCAGATGAAACATAAAACTTTTACTCGGTGTAGACGTACCTGTTCCAATCATTACTTTCAAGACTTCAATGGCCTAGTTTGAGGACTGGGATGTAACCTCAGAGAGTGGCCCTGCTATGTGTTCTGTTTGCATTTATGGTGATTTATTACTCCTGAACCAGGCTGGCTGATGCACCAGGAGAGCTGTCTGGGAGACAGGTCTCCTGTGACAATGGACTACTATGACTGTGCATCAGAGCTCTTGTTATCATTTACATGAAGAAACTGGGTTCATGGCCAACTGGAGCTTCTCAGATGGTTTTGTTTCTTTGAAGCTCACTTGAGTAATCCTGCCCTAAATAGACATCTAATACACACTTTTTCCTTTCGACAGAGGGAAGGCAAGGACGCTGCGTCCTCTCTGTCTGAATCTGTTAGCCTTTGTGGTATTTACGTAATTCAAAACAGAGTGGAAAATGTTATGAGAAACCCTTAAAGTAATGTGAATGTAAATGAGAAACCTTTATTTTGCTGGAACTTATACTTTGTGTTTTTATTTTTCATGCAGAGGTTTGATGCCAAGGACTCTCGAAAGCCAAATCACGATGGAGAAGACGCCAAGCTACTTTGTAACAAAAGAGACGCCACATCGGATCTCAGACATGTCTCGAGATACAAAGCTCATTGTTGTGGTGCGGGACCCGGTTACTCGTGCAATATCTGACTACACTCAAACTTTATCCAAAACCCCTGACCTGCCGAGTTTCCAGGATCTGGCCTTCAGAAACCAGAGTCTGGGCATCGTGGACACATCTTGGAATGCCATAAGGATTGGCTTGTACGTTCTGCATCTTGAGAACTGGCTCCGCTACTTCCCTCTGGCTCAGATCCACTTCGTTAGTGGGGAGCGTCTTATCACAGACCCAGCAGGGGAGCTGGCCCGGGTGCAAGACTTCCTTGGGTTAAAGAGAATTGTCACAGACAAACACTTCTACTTTAATCGCACCAAGGGCTTCCCTTGCCTTAAGAAGCCGGAGAGCAGCGGCTCGCCTCGCTGTCTGGGCAAGTCAAAGGGCAGAACTCATGTGCAGATAGATAGAGAGGCTATAGAGCAGTTAAGAGACTTCTATAGACCTTATAATGACAAGTTTTATGAAATGGTGGGTCATGATTTCAAGTGGGAGTAGAGGCTGGAGTTATACTCTAAAATTGTACAGTACAAGAAAGATTCCTACATTCCTTCTTCAAAACTGGTTTGACCGTCAGTATTATATGGAAGGTGACAGGGACAAATGTGCTATAATGGCCTAAAAAAATTTCTATGGGGAGAAACAGGCTTCAAATTCAAAATCAATGCATATTTACAAAAAAACACTCACTTAAAAAGACCAAAACAAAAACAGCTGACACTGTAGGTTCAGGTTCAGGAAGCAGAAACAAAAGCATTAACAGCAAATGCCAAAGCAAAATACAGTTGTTAGGTGTTTAGGCCTGAGGGGGCACAACATGGATTATATTTATTTTTGACAGAAATGGAAGAGAAACAAGGCTGTGGAGTGAATAGATGTGCTTATTTTTAAACCAGGCGCCCCATGTAACAATGTTACCATCCTTCTCGTACTGGTTTTAGGATAAAACTAATACAGTAATGATGATAGAGGCAACAGGGCCAGAGTGTGAAATGCGTAACTATATAAAAAATAATGCTATTTTCATTGATTGATGTTCATCCCATTAGCCTTTTGCTAACGGATTTGTCGTATATTTTGATATTTAATGTTTAAGAAACTATTGCTGGACTAAACTGTAAAATGTAGATAAAGTGATTGTTTAGGCAAAAAAAAGAAAGCTTCTAGCTAGCAAATTAGCTTTGGAGAAGCTACATTAAGCAGTGGAAACTATCTCGGGAAGGATTTCTGTCCATTACAGATTTTGCTATTAAATTAAAACTTTTGCTTAATTGAAAGCCCATTTCTCCTCACCTAAATCTCTTTTTAGCCGTTGTAGCACATTTGTCCTTGCTAGCCATTTAAGTGATATGCCATTGCTAAAGCAGATAGTAAACGCTCTCCAGGCTATAAAGAGCAATAGCAGTGTTATTCTTTTGAGTAACACTGCTAAACAGCACAATATCTAAGATGACATTGCTTTTGCACTTGTAATAATCAGTTAACAGTGAGCATTTTGTTTGTTGCCAGATAAAGTCACCGTTTCAGCTCCAGGATCCCTCTGTTTCTTTCCCTGTAACTGTGTTTTATTGCGGACTACATTCTCCATTTGCTGACTGGATGGTGAGAGGAGGAGATTCCAGGGAATGGGATTAGTTCCTCTTAAAACCTGCTTTACTAATCAAGGCAGGGCTTGAAAGCAAGACCTTGGAAAATGTCAGTGGAGTCTTCAGGGAGAGCAGAATTAAGCTGCAGCACTGTGGTGGTAAAGCTGAAGAGTGAAGCCATAATGCAAGTATAAGGCACCAAATATCACTTCCTTTGATGCATTTTTTTACAGAGTTTCTTTCTTATTCTTTCCAGCTTAAATCTGTGAATGAAAAAGTCAATATATGCTGTAACATGCACACTTCACTTTATTCTACTTCATTTGATTGATCCATGCTTTTATTCTACTTTCAAAAGTGAATCACTGGCTTATCCACAAATCTTGTTCATTACCTTCATTAAATGAAACTGAAGCACACAGATGATTTTTTTTATTATTCTGTCTCATCCAGAACCTTACTTTGATAAAAATACATCACACAAAAAGTATGTTTGTTAACTCTGTCCATCCCTTTTTCTCTCTGACTGCTTTTATGTTAACAAAAAAAGATCAAAAACCAACTCAAACAGCAAGCATTTAAGCTAAAACCTAAAACATCTTCTAAAATAACGCTTGATTTCTTACCAAACATCCATTTCATCCAAACCAGCTGGTCAAATGATGCTATTTTGCAGATTTGTCCACTCACAGTTTTGTTTTGCCCGTGAAAGCATGCTTTGAGGTGTTTTATTTCATTCTGTAAGGTTCGCTGTGTGCCTGGTGTTAGTGGTTGGTGGATGAGGGGGGTGGAGGTGTAAGGAATTTCAATCACTTCTGAAAGACAAAGCAGGCAACACCTAGTCATGGCAGGTTATCAAACAGATTCTGGGACTGTGTGTCACATGATTGCAGTGAAAAGTTTGGATTCTGCTACCTGGTCTGAATACTAAAACTAGACTGTCTGAACGTGAGCCAGACTGAAACAGTACTGTAAAACAGAGAGAAAAAAATTAGCTTATAATACTCGTGTCAGGACAGGGGGGATATCTGATGAGTCAAAGTAGGACATATAAATGTTTCTGCACTCAAATCAGCCAAATTATTATACACAAGGCTTCATATTTGCTTCCAATTGTTTAGAATACTGGATGTGATTATTTCATGTTCATAAAAAAAAATGGACAATATAAAATTTGCAAGTTATGATATTACAAGTGTGTAAAGAGGCAGATCAAGAGGTAATTTTTTTTTTCAAAAAGGGTAATGCTGCATCTTTTCCACTGCAACAGTCGGTAATATTGGTCATTATCACCATTGGCTTGAATTGGCTTTACAGTATTTGAAGACTTGGTAAGCTATAAAAAGAAAGTGGTTCAGTTACTCACTGAGTATTCAAAAGCTGTCTTATTCAAATGATTTGTCACAGTGTACTTACAGAATTAAAGGTAGATGAATTAAGAGGTCCTGTTTCAGGTCCAGTTCAGTGAAATAACAGTTTAATTACAGAAGTTAGTGAGGAGGTAATACAACTGCCAGTCGTACAGTATTAAAGCTGTAAAGCAGAGCTATTAGAACTATTGACTGTATATTGATATAGACAGCACACCACCATCTCCTCCCACTGTAAAAAAGTGAAGCCAAAATCATGTCTCCATGGGCACTGACATACCCACCGAGCATTTTTTTTTCTACAAGAGGTCTAATAGACTTCTAAATGTAGCCTGGACAACTGGTCTAAAATCAGGCTACCACAGGTCTAAAAATGAAAGTTTTTTAGATGTCTAAATTTAGACCAAGTTTAGACTAGCCAGCTAACAGAGGTCTACACTGTATATTGCTCAACGGCTATCATAATTATTTTGGTTAAGTACTTGGAGATCAGTTATGCAACTCACAGTTACTTTTTGAAATAAAATAGTTATCAAATCATGGGTTAAAGTGCAACTTCTAAATTCTATCTAGAAATATACAGAATCTAGACGGTTGAAATTAGGTCTAAGAAAAAACTACAGGTCTAATAGCTGTCTATTGCTCAGTGGGTATTCTACTTCTAGTGTATTTTGTAGATGAGGGATGCAAAGAATCCCTGTCACACCCCCTCTGCTAACCAAACCCCAAATTTAATTTACTTACACAACACCAGAGATCCTGAAGCTTAGAGCAGTCCACAACCGAGCAGGCTCTTGTGTTGATTTGAAAACAGACAGTCATGATTCACTATGTTTTCTCTCGTTTCTCAGTCTCTCATGTGTGAAAGAGCTCTGCAGTTGCTTACATTTGTGAACAGAGCTGCCAATCTGTCAGTACTGCAGCCACTTAATAGGCAGAGCTTTGACCATTTTGGCTTCATTTTGGGGGAGCTGTTGTTCTGGGCGTACTTCTATACAATCTTCGTACTCCACCTCTTAACAGTGTAAAGTCACTGTATTTACATAGTATATGGTAACATAAAGCAAGCTCTTTCTTTCATTGATGGTTCATTATACTCAATAACATGTCCCTCTCTTACCACTGTTATTCTGCAAGTACACTTTAGTGGGGGTCGGTTAGCCAATGATCAAAACCAACTACTTTTACAGTGATAGTAATGCCATTTAAGACAAAGGGGTCTGATTCGACCACTAATTAGTGCAATACCATTGTAGGAGCAGAGTATAGTGAACTGAAAATGGTCTCATTATTTAACAGGGTGACTTTAAGGGTTTTCTTTAGCTTGTACTTGCAGACTCATATGATCTATTTCCCCTCTTTTATGCCAACTTATCATCTTCTAATCTCCTGTATTTCTTTTCATGTAGTGCTATATGAATAAATTCTGGTGTTCAAAAATTCACATTTTTAATTCGTGGGCAGATTTCTGTCAGTCCTCATATTTCCAAATAAAATTGTTGAGCTCATTACACGCCTCACTCTACTGCAGTTATACAAAAATAACTTCAAAAATGATAGTACCGGGAAGAAGCAGATACGGGGACTGTGAGAGTTCACTGAGAGACAGACGTACAGAACGGCAGAGACTTACTCAGCATCTTAATGTGCATCACCGCTGATAGACACTGAAACACTGAACTAAGAGAAGCAGTTCCCTTAACTTATAATAATCATTAGGAACTATTTCACTCCCAGTGAAATGTAGGACATGTTGGTCCTCTCTGTTATCTACATACCTCAGAAGTCTGCTACTTTTATCCGTTTGAATACTACTCCATCTGAAGCCCTTTTAAAATTTGCATGTAACAGAGTATCCTTTGAAGATTCCTCGGTGTTTGATATAGAAATACAGAAAGATGAGCAGAAGGAGCCTTAAAAAACCTGTTCTTATTTTTACCTGGCTATACGTTCAGGCTCTCATTCTTCCTCATTCTGTGCCTATTTTGCCGTGGTCATAGTGCATTGTTATGAGAAAAATCATAAAAGGTGCTCCTTTCTCTGTGACCCTTTCTCGTCCCAGACGTCTGAATTTTTTTCTTCTCTCTTCCCACACAGCTTTTCTTCCCCTGGCTCTTACTCTCTCTCTCTTTCTCTGTCTCTCTATGTCCCACCATTCATTAAACTCTCGCCACCTCCATGTGGGGGGTGCATTAAGCTGTGTGACTGAAGCACCTCTGATGCCCCTTCTTGTCATCATGCTTGCCAGCAGCTCATTTCTGTTGCTTTCGCCGACGCACAGGTGACCGTCCGTGTGGTCGTCGCTGTGAGCGGCAACTCTCTGTATGGTCCACATGGGTCCTAATTAGGCCTGAGGGCTGGAAAAGGAGCAAAAATCCCCCAGAACAAGCATCAGCCAGAGTCTGATTAGACTCAGCGAGTGAATGGCTCTCCAGAGATTGCCTGCAGGTCAAAACTCTCTCTCTCTTTCCCTCACACACACACACACACACACACGCTCAGCTTTCTTTTTCAAATATGAATCCCCTTAGGAAGAAGCCAATGCAAATCATGAAATCCTTTGCATTCAGGAGAGCTATGATGTGACCTATTTGCACTCCAGCTAATGAGGTGCTTGTTAAGCTTAATGAGTATTTGTTAGAACTGATACTGAAACTTGTGTTGTTATGAAACATTATTACTAAATGAAGCATTGCAAACAAATCTCCCTGTAGAAGGTTGTGCTTAATGTGCTGAGCGTTTGGATTACATTTTAATCCAAGATATTTCCTATTTCCTGTTCATCCCTATGGAGCCGCCTAATAATTATTTAATGCTCTGAATACCTAAAGGATTTATACATAAGTGCATGGCTGAAGAGTAAAAGTTACCGCTGAAGCTAAAAATCAGTCTTAAAGGACCAGCATAGAGACGTTTTTTGTTTTTTCTTTTCCATTAGAGAGTGTTTGAAAGAGGCTGAGAGTGTTGTTTGTAACAGTTTTTGAACATTACGATCTAATATTGATTAATACTTAAAGATGCTTTTTACTGAAGGGGTGAAAACAAAACACAAAAGGCCTACTTTTCTGCACAGCACTGAAAAATAACAACATAAAATCAAGTGAAACAGCTAAAGGCAGACTGTTAGAGTTTAAATGTCATAGTGGTGTTCGTCAGGCTTATAATGTAGTTCATCTTCATAATCCCTGTTGGTTAATGTAGCTTCAAACATTCGCCCTTTTGGATTTTTAATGAGTTAGGAAGTTTGATGGAAACAGCAACAGAAATGTTCCACTAAGAATCCTTCCCCAAAACCTCAATATTGCAATATTTTTGTATCATATCATTGTTAACAAAGCTGTAATATCTTTTCATGCATGCCTACAGGAAAATGCATTTTACATGCATGCTCTATTTAGGCGGCACTGAATTAAAATATCACAAAGCATTTTGCTCTGGATGTTCACATGAGATAGAATGAGGTTCCCTGCAATCCATGGGAGACAGCAGCTGACACTGCAGAGGCAGGGATTCAGCATTGTACCTTGTTCAGTCCGAGCGCTTCAGAATAGTTTAACTTCTCTAGTAGACAGGATGTCCCAGCGGTCAAAATCACCAGTGGCTTAGGAGCCAAATTAAAATGAAATGCTGACAACTGTGGCACAGTCTCAAGTACGTAATGATACGTTCTACTACTATTTGCGGACCAGTGTTGGAACTGCAGTCTGCGGGGATGACACTTAATAAGCATGTTCATGTGATGTGCTCTATTAAGCTCATAGAGGAAACCAGGAAGTGAAGTGGGTGGAAGTGTTATTTCAGGAAAGTTCTGTCAAAATGACGCGGCTGAGCTATTGCTGATGTGTTTAAAACATTCTGCAGATACTATTCATTACAATAAAACAGGATACAATGCAATACTATAAAATTCTTGATATGAAACAGTTAGATATGATTAAGTTATGTATGATACAATAAATACAAAAACGTAGGATACAGTACACTGTTATAAAACATAGACCAAATTAGTATAGAGGAAAGAAAAGAATACAATTTGCAGCAATCTAGTTTGTGGCATTTACTGATGGATTACTGCGATAACATGTTTTTCAAAGATCCAACACTCAAGAGAAAATTGCGTCACTCTGCTTCAAAAACAAACCACCATATGCCATTTGGTACTCGCTTGCCTCAAAGCAGTGTAGTTATTTATTTTCAATGCTCGTAAAAAAAAGAAATAACCACCATTTCATCTTTCATAAATCATTTTCGTGGCATTTGTCACCAAACTGCTACATCTATGTGCAATTTTAAAATGTGAAAAACTTGAATGGCATTTTCAAACTTTTCTCTTAAAAGGAACTCAGTGTTTATCAGACAGTTTTTTTTCTTTCATTTTGCCAGATTGCTTTTAAAGTACACAAAACCTCAATACAAATTTGTAGTCACTTTGTCAGAAGGAGTGTGTTGTTTCTTTCAGTGGGTAATGATTGCTTTGTTGCTCACTGATGCAGTTTTTACAAAACGATGTACCTGCTGCTGGTCCTCACCAAGTTTTCTGTGGGAAAAAAAGAACAAGATGGTTGTTGTCGTGACTGGGGGTGTAACACTTGAGCGTCATCATAATTCTGCTTTAAACGCTGTGTGCCTCTGCAATATCCAGGAGATTTCGATCACACAGAAGAAGAGATTGATGCATTTCAAGAGGTTATCCTGATCCAGTCTTAAAAAAAAACACAGGAATCTATGATTATTTGTTAGTGTAATTGATTTTTTCAGCTGACTATCCTTGTGTTGGTCTGTCAACCAGTCAGAGGCTGTATGACCAATCAGTTGACATGTAAAGGTCCTATTAGAAGCCAGGCTTCCCTGAGCAGTGAAGGTGTAAAACCATAGACTGTATATAGAATGAACGCCGTCTGCCCCCTCGCTGAGTGAAGCCACTCTGAGAACAGCACCCTCTGTTGATGGGCCGCAGTAGAGGTCATAAATCCTGCCTCCGCCAGCAAAGCTTATGGAGCTGTGGACAAACTTTAGAAATTTATTACACAGAACATAATTTTTTTGCCCCCCTGCTTGCGATGTTGACATGTAGTTACTGTAAGACCGTAAGGTTTGTGCTCAAGTCCTCTTTTTTCTGTCCATTTTTAAAAGTTATTAGGGGGTTCATGTTTTCTATGATTGACACCTGATACAGCCTATGGCCGTACAAGAATTGCATAGCTCACCCAGGGGATACGCTGTTTGAGCGTCATCACAGCAACTCTCGGCGACTCGCCCGCCGAATGCGTACGCGACTGCACAATGTTGGTTTCAGGAAAATTGTTTCAAATCCATATACTGGTGGAAGGCGGAACTAAGTTCCATAGTATATACAGTCTATGTGTAAAACTCATAATAACATTTGTGTTACGATATAATACGATACTATATGGGGACATATGATGCGATAAGATACAATACAATATAAAGTTATGTGATAAGATACGATACGATTCAATGCTATGTGATAAAATACGATGAGAAGCTACATGATAAAATATGAAATGAAGCAAAACAATATAATATGAAGTAATACAATATCATACAATTGGTTGCAATAAATTATGATAGAGTACGATGCAGTACAATAAAAGGAAATTTGATACTCAAGGATATGAAAAGATTAGATGCAATCAGATATGAGATACTACAAAAAGAACATGATTAGATACAATATGATAGGATATGATTTGAATAAATACAATACAATTCAATACACTGTAATATTATTTGAAGCAATACAAA